GCTGACCCGGTGGCTATAATAACGCTGGGACCTATGAGCTTGCCTCTAGAAACCGTTTTGGATCAGATCCAGATAACACTCACGACCTGCCTGAACACAAGTTCGGGATTATCTCACTTGCCGTGCATTCTGTCTACATTTTGAGATGCCTGTTCAAACGTCGAAATAATGGTGTGGGAAAGAAGCACGATGTATAGGCAAACAGTTCATGTCGAACTGGGCAGACGGTCGTGCAAGGAACGCGCGCCTTTCGGCGATAAGGAGGGCAGCGAAAGGCTCCAGGGCCATCGCCTTGTTGGATTGTCTTTCTTCAACTCAAGCTCCTCGAAAAGGGCCTCTGAAAGGACACGTTTTCATAGGGTCCCCATTGTTCTGCTTGAACGGACCTAAGCCTTTCCTCAAAAAAGACCCCTTAGCTTCCCAGACGAACATTACCTGATGCCCCCTATCCAACATGGGATTCGAACCAGCATCACCCGAGCGCACCTCCCGAGTAACCCTATCTTGAAAACGACATCTGCTGGACCTGGACCAGCTCCGACGCACTCGCCAGTGATCGTACCGGCGCGGTGGTCATGCGCTGGCAGGCTTCGGCGCTGGGAGCTTCAGGCTGCTGCCATGCTGCGGCAGGTTCACGAAAGGCTTAGGGCTCGGGGCAAACATCGCTGACGATCAGAGCTTGCTGCCTTGCTTGCTGCAGGAGCACCCGTGCGGAACGTCCGGGCCATTTTTGGAGGCTAGCTTCTGTCTTGGCATCAGCGTTACGCCGCTACGCAGGTCTGAGAAGGAAACCACCTGCCCCAGCGAGCATGTTGCGAAAATTCCCAAGTTCTGGAAGAGGGGCCACTAATTTATTGAACAACCTCGAATCGGACACTGACAGCCCTGAAAAAATCCTTGCTACCTTTGGCCCTGCCCATTCTTCCTCCCGAAAATTTGAAATATCCCGTGCTGCCCTGACCTTGGCATATCTGAGGAAGCCTTCTTCTGTGCGCTGGCCCCTTGCCACGGTGCTAGGATCGTCGCAGCGGTTGCATCAAACCAATCGCAAAGCTCTGCCTGTCCTAGCCCTCCCAAGCATGGGCGCAAGCACAAGCATCTCAAATCTCTCCGAAAGCAGGCACAGAGGCAACATGTCCAATCGTTGCTCACATCAGTTCCCCAATCTTCGGTCTCTCTGCTCTTGTGACCACTATTCTGCCAATGCATCGTCTCCACCGTTGCAAGTGCATCACGCTCTCCCACACGACGCCTGAAGTTCTGTGGGGCCCGATCTGCCTTGCGAGGATGCACGACCCTCAAAGCGCAGCAGCTGAGTCTCCAGCCTACACTACACAAGTAAAGCTTGAATCGAAGAACTCAAAAGTCGCTGCCCATGTACTATGCGGAACCGTGGCTCTTGGACCTAAAGCCCATGACAGGCAAGCCGAATTCGGGATCAATCTACGCAATCACGGTGCTTGACGAATGCCGCGAGCCCAAGAACCACAAGTAGCCTCCTTTTTGCTATGCGGAAGTGCCGATACGGCAGATAGACATCAGTATGCCATCCGTCGGGTATTCCGCGTCATCGAGCATTGAGAGTTAAAAGGTGGCCCGCATAGCATGCTGTCCCACTCAGCACATCGGACTAGATCTGGCGCACTGTCATATGCTCCTAGTGTTGCTCAAGGATATATTCAACAGTTCGGTTTAGGTACCATTCCTTTGTCATCAGGTCAGGCAAGAGCTCTTCGTCAATCGCAGACCTCCTGGTCCTTCAAGAGCTGCAGCAACTTGCCAAATAGCGAAAACGGCTGAGGTCCCAGTCGCTCTTAGAGCCGTCGTTCTTGTTGAAGAAGAGACAACTGGCCGGGGTGCCACCGACAGCCACGTCCTCAAATAAGCCCGTGCAATCTGGCGACGTCAATCCTCCACCTTGACACACGTTTGCAAGTTCGGGATTCGGGAGTGGAAGGTTCGAGTTTGAGGATGCTTGAAGTCGCGACGGTTTGGTTGATCAGACGGTCCCCTGTGACAACTTGAAATGCTGAAAGTTCGAAAGTTCGGAAGCTCAATTCACTGCGCTACAGATTGAGCTTCCAGATCTCGACGGATTCAAGGTTCCAAAAGTTCGGAGCTTGAGCTTGACCGGCTTGGAGTTTAGAGTTTGAATGCTGAGGGTATGCGGTTGGCACAGGACGAGACGATGGGAAAGTTGAGAGCACGGCTGGAGAGTTTTAGTTTTCAAACCCTCAACTTAGCGTACAAGGTTGCAAGGTTCAGGCTTCCAAGTATCGTCTTCCACAGGCTTGCATCAAGCAAAAGCTGCATACTGCGTGCCAAACAACCAAAACCTCAAAGTGGCAAACCTGGACATATCCTGAGCAACACAGACACAACCCAATCCTTAAACCCTAAAGCGTTCACATTTCAGAGCCAAGAGCTTCCAACACTCTGGAAGGAACTCACCCACCAGAAGTATGGTCGCTGTAGGTTCCGCACTCTCCGGATCGCAGGTTTCGGGCTTTATATGTTCCATAGTTACATGGTTTGGAGATGTTTGGAGGCTTGCTGCTGTTCTGGTCTTTGTTGCTATGGCCATACAAGAAGACCCGAAACATGCCGGCACAAACCAAAGGGTGTTAGGGTTTGTGTTGGGTCAGGGCTTGTGTTTAGAGGTCAAGGGCTTTTGCGGCCGAAGGGCTCCACCACGCTGCGAGAGTCCACATGCAAATACTGCCGGTGTCGGTTGGCAGGAGAGTCCAGACTGGGCCTTGCCGCAGCCCTGAGAAGGGAAAGCATTACGTTCGCTGAGCAGAGTCGCACAGCCCACATGGAGGGTACACAACGGGGCTTTCTCGCTGTGGAGCCGGCAAGGAAGCTTTCGCACTTCTGCCAAAGATGCCCTTGATCAGAAACACGCAACTGCCAGCCAGAGGTGATGAAGGACAAGTGTGCGCAGCGACTGTCCAGTGCTGGTGCTTTGCTTTTCCCATCTTGAAGCGCTTGGCTTGGCCAGGAGTAGATCCTCGACTCAAACTCCACGGTCATCGCTTTGAGTCGAGATCAGAAAGGATGGGGAGCTAGAGTCTAGAGCTGCACCCGAAATTCCAAGTTACCTGCTGGAGGCTCTTCAAGATTGGTCGCTGTCTCTCGCTCCCATGCCACGCGAAGGCCTGCAAATCCAGGACCACCTGGCAAGATCCCTGGGGTCCATCTATGTTGTGCCTTCCGGCTCCAGCTGCACTCCGACAGAACCGCTTCCAGGAACAACATTCCAAGTGCGGACCCTCATCCCGGAATTCGGGACGATCGAACTTGAGTCGCCAGCAGCACTTTGTTGAATTTGAGCACTAGGCGGATAATGGAAGTGCCACAGACATGCGACTCGCAGACTTGAGTCAGGCTGGCAGCGGCTGGCCATCCATCAGGTGCTCCTCATCGTCGAACAACCAGACTTTAGGTGGCTTTCCGTGGCAAGCTCTTCCCCTCATCACCTCGTTATAGATTTGCCTGTACCAAATGTTTCCGCTGGTGCCCAGGGAGGTGTTCAATCCTGAATCGAGATGCCATTCTAGGGTGATCAGATCAACGATATGTTTACAAAAGAGCTGTTTGTCAATGAGGGAGCGTAGAAGCTCGAACTCGCCTCCTTCAATATCCAGCTTCATCAATCGCTTCCCTGGTGGAGCATGGTCCTTCAAGAGCTGCAAGAACTTGCTAAAATCCAATGCTGCCACCGTGACAGTTTTGTTCCCCGGTTTTCTGTAGTTTGAGTAACGATAAAGGCTGAAGCCCCAGTCGCTGTCAGAGCCCTCGTTATTGTTGAAGAAAACCAATTGGCCAGGGTCACTGCCGCTGACAGCCACGTTGAATAGTCTTACTCGCCAGCCTTGTGCCGAGTAAGCCCGTTCAATTTCGTGAAGTCGATCCCTCCACCTGTTTAGCGACTCGTCGCAGCAGAGCTACAACCCAAGGATTCTGTTCCAAAGGCTACGGCGACTAAGATGTAATGGGCGGGTTGGGGATGGGGGCGGGAAACAGGAGCGATGCCCTGAACCCTGAACCATGAACCACCTGCCTCGGATTTGCTTCAAAGGCGAAGGCACAGATTCCTGTGTGGCGTGAGGGTTTTGTGCGATACGCAGCTCTGCCAAAGACTTCATTGAAGACTTTGAGGTACTTCGCTCCCTTGTACTTCAGAGGCTCGAAAAGCTTCCGGACATGGGTCGCCCGATTTGCACCCAAGTCCAAGAAAATCTTCGTGCAGTTGAAGAAATCTTCTGGACCGATACCTCCAAGCGGCGAGTCCACATGCAAATACTGCCGGTGTCGGTTGGCAGGAGAGTCCAGACTGGGCCTTGCCACAGCCCTCAGAAGGCAAAGCGCCACGCTCGCTGCAAGAAGCTTCGACATCCCGCAGAGGCAGTCGCAGGGCAGCTTCCGTTGCAATCAAGCGTCTCAAACGAGCAGAGTCGCACAACAGATCTGTGGAACGACAGCCTACAGGGAGGGTACACAACGGGGCTTTCTCGCTTTGGAGCCGGCAAGGAAGCTTTCGCACTTCTGCCAAAGATGCCCTTGATCAGAAACACGCCACTGCCAGCCAGAGGTAATGAAGGACAAGTGTGCGCAGCGACGGTCAAGTGCTGGTGCTTTGCTTTTCCCATCTTGAAGCGCTTGGCTTGGCCAGGAGTAGATCCTCGACTCAAACTCCACGGTCATCGCTTTGAGTCGAGATCAGAAAGGATGGGGAGCTAGAGTCTAGAGCTGCACCCGAAATTCCAAGTTACCTGCTGGAGGCTCTTCAAGATTGGCCTTTCTGAACCCGAGCTGGCCGTGGAGGGAGGACAGCAACAAACCATAATTTCTCCAGGCTTGCCATGTGCCCTCTGCAATCGAGCTGAAAGAGCTGGTGTGAAGTGCAGGCATTGCTGTACAGCTTCCTCTCGAAACCCTGCACCTTCTCACCCGCACCACAGGATGACCTGAAAGAGGACACCCCTACAGTACTGCCCCTACTCGGGCACAAACATTCCATCGTCAGAGTACGGCCAGCCATCATCCCGGATCTCGGGGGCACGTCTTCGGGCCTGCGCGCATGGTCTGTGCTCAGGGTGCTCCAGGCTTCTTGCACTGCAGCAGCTGCAAGAAACGCTTTAGTACCACAAGTGGAAGACTTCCGACTCTTCGGGCTAACGCTGAAGGGTTTCCGGAGACGGCAGCACAAATCCTCTGCAGGATCTCGAAGACCGATCACGTCGTCCATGCCGTGCAACCTTTTCCTGAGCCCAATTCTAGGAGGCTTGCTTGGATTCTCTGGCCTGGGGAACCTGAGCGGGAGAGTCCCAGTGGCTCCATGTAGTCCGGAGTCTCGCGCTGCAAGGCTCGGTAGCGTTCGACGTTGGCCTCTGCACTTTCTGCGTTCTTTGAAGGTCTCAAGGTGCTGCAGTGTGCTCGGGTTTAGGTTGGATGCGTTGATTCGATATTCAGTAAAAGATCCATCCCAAAAGCACGACCCTGCGTCGCTTGGGATGTGCTTGGCCTTGCCATCTGGTGTCGATTCGTCGCTCCAGCGGCACTCCTGCATCGGGGCCCTTCGTACACGGGGTGGCTTGCGGGGGACGAACATGTCTGCCAGAAAACCTGCGGCCCACAAATGCTTGTCAAGTCTTGAGCCCAAACCCCTCAGCCCCTCGACTCCAGACGTGCGAAGGCGGGGGCGCTGCGCTCATAGATCCGCACGAAGTGGCCAATAAAGCGGGTGTAGAAGTTCCTCGCTGGACGCGCATAGTGGCTGCATTCTGCGCAGCTCTGTCCTTCAGCTGAGAGCTCCTGCAAAATGCGTGCCGAGACTCTCAAACTCGACTTGGAGCTTGCTCCTCTCGCCGCCCGACGGCCCGAATAGACCAACCTGTGCCACCGAATTCTTGAGGACAGGATTCTGGGCTATTTTGACGGCCCTCGGCCTCACGACAGGCCCAGAAGTGGAGTCGCATCCATACCCGGCTGTCGTCGAGCTTGAAGTGGTCTCCGACCTGGCAACTTCCCGCGCTGGCGGAGTGTGAAACGAGAGAGCCGCGATGTGCGTCCATGGAGCCCTCCCCTTCAGGTCAGGAGCGGCCTGGTGCATCGGGCAGCCTGCTCGCTTGGGGCAGTGCCACCCCGCGAAGTGCGCAGAGGAGCGGTCGTGGACCAAGAAGTCCTCTTGAGAGGGGCTTGAGATGTCTTCGAAGTCAGAAGCAGCTAACTGCAGGGTAGGCCCTCCTCCAACTCCAGAGCACCCTTGTGGTTCGGATACATGATCTGCTGCTTCAGAGTTGCCTGGCCCCGGATGCAGGCAGCAGTCAGTCACCCCAGGGCACCTTCTCAACTCAAGCCCCTGCACTTGACGGAGGAATCTTTGGCACAAGAGGACCGGAAGTCTGCGCGCCTCGTGCTGCTTGCGGCTGCCACGCTCCCTTGTCCATGGCTGCTCCGGAGCACCCATTTTCTCGGCTACCTAGGTTCCCGAAGTTCCCGAACACGAGGGTCCCTCCTGGCTAGCAGTCCTGGGCCCTGAGCAAAAGGCCGTGACAACGAGCATCGTATACTACAGTCTTATAGTCGAACAAAAAGTCAAACGGGAACCCTCTGGGGGATCCGAAATGTTCGCCACGCACTCTGTGCATAGTATCAGTCCAGGGACCCAGTTGGCCAGCCGCGGTGCATGATGGCTCACCTCTGCCGCATGTCACTTGCACGCCTTCACTTCGCTCTGGAGACCCAATGAAAGGCTCCCTGGTAACCGCAACGTCGCCTCCGTCGAGGCGAAAAAGGGCTCCAAGTGCGGATTCGCGAAGACCTTCCGCACTCCCATTTTCCGACATAGACATTCCTTGCGTGATGCTTCGGAACCTTGGTGTAGAAGCAAGTCGTCATTTCCAGTAGTCGCGGCGCGCCTTTCCAATCGAACAGCAGTCACATGAGTGGACTGGCATTCACTCAATGACACAGACATGGAGGAACAATGAGCAGACGAGCCTCCGATTTCCTTCAGCAGCTTCCTTGAGAAATCGTTGGGCTTGTGGCTGTTCTCCTCGACGACGCCGTCGTACACGATTGGAATTGTGTGCTTGTGTCTGCCTATCCTTGATTCTCCTCGACTCTTCCCCCCCTCGTTCAAAGACGGCCGGGACCGACCCCACTTCGAGCTTTGCTCCGGAAGCTGTCCTCGATCTTCATCACCGGGTACTGTTTGCCTTTGCTTGCGGCTGCTCCAGCTGTTCCTGCATTCAGGCTCCAGGCACGGTGCTGAAAGCTGCTCTCCAGGCTCGGACCCCGGCCCCGCCTCCTGTGACGGGGCTTGGGCTTTTGGCCCCATCCTCCTGCCCTGCAAAGGCGCACATCCCCATGGCCGCACGATGTCTCGGAACCCAACGGCTGCGTCTGATCGTCGCACAAGGCTAAGGCCCCATTCCTTTGGGGCTCCCCCTGGAGCTGCAAAGCTCCAGGCTTCGCTTGCAGACATCCGGCCTCCGGGAAGAAGAGCTTGATCGTCGGATAACCCTGAACCTCGAACTTCTGGCAGAGGGTCTGGCATGCACAGATCCGAGGGATTGTCTTTCAGGGTGTGGGAGGCTTGGTGGCTTTTTGCATCGGAACATGTTGAGAAACCAAGAAGCTCATGGTTGGAACGCCTGCTTGGTTCTTTTTTTTTTTAACCCTCTTTTCTCCCTGTCCCGAAGGTTAGCAAGAACACCAGGTTGGTGGAGGGATTGGACGGGGAGGCCAGTTAACAAAGGGGGATTCACCACCACAACCACAATGCAAAACCCATACTGGCACATTCGCATAGGCCTCCCCTATTCCCAGCAGTTTGCCACTCTTCAGTTACCTGCTTCAGGGTTCAGGACATCGCTTCTGCGCTTTGCGGCGAAGGATGCACAAGGCGGGAGCTTCGCTGCTGTGACTCATACGGAAATTGCACACGTAGTCGCTGGCGTTCGCTTCGAGGGCCTCTTTGGGCCCAAGCGAAGGCCGCCCGCACGGAGCTCCTGTGGCCTCCGCCTCAGTCCCGGCCCCGGCGGCACGGGCTCAGTGGGCCTCAGCGGGGGCCTCAGTCCTCCAGGTACTTCGCCGCCTCGGCCGCGGCAGCCGCCAGAGCCGCCTTGCGCCGCGCCTCTTCCCCGAGAGCTTTCCGAAAAACGCCCCAAGAAAGGAGAGGACAGAAGGCCTCCTCACGGATGCGCGAGATCATGACGATGGTGTTTTTCCTTCAGGATCGGAGACTCTATAGGCATGGCATGACACACTTGAAACGCGACAAGGAAGCAATGTGCGTAAGGCACCGTGAAGAGTTCATGGCTGCAAAGCCAAGAAACAGCGAATTAAAACCTTGCTCTGCAGCGATGTCATACGCGGTCTCTTCCAGGTCGTTGCTGGCACCAGACAGGTTCATGACATTTTGTAAGGATTCATGCGGCATCCACTCGGTTCTACATGTTGCAAATGATTCCGGAACGTCTATCTCCAATGCGCAGGCAGAGAACTCAACATCTTCCTGTATGGAGCATCGCGAAGCCTGATGTCCACATCCACATCCTCCTGAAGCAACCAGGCAACCAGGTCCTGCTGAGCCTGAGCTACACTCAGTCTTTTGTCTGACAACACTGTCTGGCATTGTCTGGGCCAGGGGGCTGCGGCCAGAGCCAGCATCAACGCCGTGTTCCTGGGAGTAGTCACTTGTCTGGAATCCACGGCGAGTCGTAGGGTGAATTCGAGCTGCGTGTCCCAATTAGCAGAGATGCCCGCTCTTCTCGACACCATTCAGGTCTGCCTGGCGCCTGTCTAGCTCGCCGCTGAACTTCGCATCGATACCAACACATCAAGCATCGAGATCCTAAAGACTTCGCTGGGGGGGCCGGATGAGCTGTTTGGCGGCCATGGTGTTCCCCCTTACAGCGGCAATCATCAGCGCCGAGATGCCTTCCGCAAGGGTGCGGCATGGCAGTGCCGGGGCTTATGGCACGAGGCGCTGCTAGTGCTGCCATGCGTGAACCTTCCGAGGTCGTTTGCTGAGGCGTGGCGTGCTTCCGCAATAGAAACTTCACCACCTCCTCGTGAAAGGCACCGGTGCAGGTTTCCAGCCCCAGATGCAGTTGCTCCCCCGCTACATCTCTGCTCCGCTCTTCCGCTCTTCCGCTCTCGTTCTGCTCCTGTTTCCCCCGCTCTGCGGCGTAGAAAAGCGCCGTCCACTGCCGCTTGTCCTGCGCGCCGAACTCGAGAAACTCGAGGCTCAGCAACCTTAAACTTAAGAAAACTGACTGAGCGAGCGAGCGGGAGACAGAGTGACGAATGATACGAATGCTTTGCTCGGTTAGGATAACTGGCTGTCGCCAGCTCTAGCACACACGATGCCGCCAGCAAGCAAAATCTGTGCGGTCTGCAGTGCTAATTTTGCAAAACCTCGACTCGAATGTCCTGCAACTTGATGTCTGCACGGGCCTGCCACGTCTGTGAAATCACGTAACTCTGATCTCGCCCAGCCCTCTCTGATGATAACTTGCCGAAACTCTGAACCTACGTCTCCACCTTGCATGACATCTCATGCCTTGCCTGAATCATTGCGCAGCATGGCAACAAGCAGGCTAGCACTTGGAAGGGCCGCTGAACCCAGGCCAATGTCATGCAAGCTCGACTGCGGCTTTCGGCCACCGGGTTAGAAACTAGCTGTTGCAGTCACTCGCGGGGCCATTCAAGACGCCTCCAAGCCCTTTGAACTTAGAAGCCCCTGCCCGGACAACAGAAGTTGCAAAGGAGCCTCAAGCAGGAGCGGTGGGATGTCGGCAGAGGCATCCATGCAGGCCAGCCTTGCAGAGACTGTAGAAAGCGGCCACCAAAGCCAAAAAGAAGGAAGGAAGAAGAGAGTGCCTGGGTTCGGGGGCCAGGACCCCGAGCAGCGGAGAGCTGCTTCGCTAACGTCAGCCACCAGCACTGCCGACCCTCCCCCTACATATACCTCGTCGTGACGTCACAAGGCCCGGAGTTCTTTCGTGTGCAATGGGTCTTTGGTGCCGTAGGGCCAGAGGTCGCGGCATCATTGGCGTCCGACCGGCCACGTCCTGCCGCACTTTTTATCTTCTCAGAGCACCACACGACTCACACGACAAAAGAAGAGGCCCTTCTGCAGACAGCTCCTGAGTGTCAACGGAGGCCCGTCGCTCCAGGAGAAACGTCACGGCCTAGCGCATGTCCGGGTCCGAGCATTGACACACCGAAGTTGCGCCACGTTCGCTCCCTCCTTGTCGGCACCCCCCGTGGCTTGTTGAAGATGTTCTCCATAGAGTCCAAGTAGGATCCAGGACTCAAAACCCCCAGGCAAACTCCAGCAGCTTTTCGGGGCCTGTGTGGAGCTGTTCCGGCAGGCATGGGATAGAGGCGTCCAGCTCAAGCAGTCCTGTTGAGTTCAATATACGCATGATGTGAACTGTGACAAGAAATCTGCCAGAAGCGGGTTGGACTTGTTCCTGGCGGCAGGCTCCTTGTTCTCAATGCCAATCTTGGCATCAAGGAGGAAATCCAAACAGCTCACCTCGCTTCGGCTCAATAGATTCGGCGTTGTGCCCAAGAGCCATCAGAGAAAGCGACAGAAAGAGCAGAATACAAACGGCCAGAAGCCCCTATACTGGGGTCGCAGACCGTCGAGGAGCTCTTGGAAACCGCTGCGAGCATCACCACATCCTGAAAAGGATCGGGCTCCGCCGCAGCAACCAGTACATGACAGGCAGTGCATCTAGCGCCTGTCCCCTCAAAGTGCGCAGCGTCAGGTCCATGCCCTGCGGCGACATGTCACGGCATTTCTGTGCCCAACTAACAGGGCTCGGGCAAGCAGGTCAGCAAGGCGAAGTTACGCTTCCACGCGCAGGGGTAGGAGGGTCAAGCTGACGACTGCCGGCTTCGTCCGTGGAGACTCCAGGCACCCCTCTGACAAAATCCCCAAACTGTCATCCCAGCTCCTCCTCTGCGCAGTCGACGACTTTTCCTGACGCCACCGGAGACAAAATACAGGATTACGAGACACAGTCTCAAGGCTTGACTCAGCAAGACACCTCACCATGAAGTCAAGCAGCTGAAGTCGCCCACCCTCAGCGCCTGGAAAAAACCTGCATGTGCGGGCATGTACACTAGTACACAAGGACAGACAGGGACAGAGAGACAGAGAGTCTTCGGCAATCCGCACTGCCCACTCCAGTAACCTTCGATGCGCTGGCGCTCGTCCTCCGCCACCTCTCGGCCATCCTGAGGGGAGTAGCCCGACCTCTTTTTGGCAATTCAGTGTCCGTCTGCAGCAGTGACCCACCGTCTGCACTGCAAAACACATCCGTCTTCTTGGCTCGGCGCATCTTCAACCTCGCTGTGAGAGGGTGTGCGAACTCCCGGCCAGCTTCCTAAGTTAAGGCTTTGGCACTCATCGACCACTCCACCGGGACATCCCCAGTGAAACACGGTAAGCAGAGGTTATTTCCAAAACAGCGTACACATGAAGAGAGAGAATAAGGCCCAGATGGGCCAAGCTCCAAGTCCAAGGTTCATCGTTGTCGGGCAGACCATGGAGGAGGTGCCTTGGCTATTGGCTAGGTGCGGATCTGGCGAAGCCAGCAGTCTGGAGCCGGCGATTCAAGCACGAGGACGCTCCGTTTACACCCAGGATAGGACAGGGTCCAGCCGTAAGCTGCCTTGAACGTAGTACACAGTTACACACTGCCGGCGGGCATGGCAGCATGCTGCGCTGATTGGACGCAGTCCTATATACATGTCTCGAGGCACGCAAGCACGCAGCCCACGCAAAAAAGGTGCAGGCCCTCTTTGGCCTGTCCTGCAAGATGCCGCCGCCCAGGTGGGCGGCGCCTTGCCCCGCCTGAAGCTGCCGCCGGCTCCTCCTCGCGCCGATTTCGACAGAGACAACGAGACTCCGCCGCCACGGCCTCGCGCGGTTTCGGGCCGCCGGGCCTGGAGCTGTGCGGGGTCCCTTGGGCTGCGGTCGCGGGGGCGGCGAGGGCCAGCTCCTGAGAGAAAGCGACTAGAACTCTCAATCTTTTCCCCCGAGCCAAACTCACAGACTCTTGCGGACACCGCACGTTGCAGCTGGCCAGTCCTTGGGCACAACGGCTTTCCGATATCAAAGCGTCTCTGAACCTCCAGAGGTTGCTCTTCCTGAGCCCGGCGCCGCTATCGACTGCGCCCATTCTTCTGCATCGGGCGCCGCTTGCTTTGCGCCGAGATGTTGAAGCATTCTTTCATGGGGCAAACTGCAAAGGTCGCCAAGGCTTCGAACCCCTGCAAAGCCTGGGTGATCTTCGCTCTGTGCGCTTTTGGATCCGATGAGGCCGATGAGACTCCCAATACGACCGTTAGATACCCTCTTCAGTGTGCAAGTAGGAACCCGGGTTGCTGCTGAGTCTTGTGATTGGATGATGCCGGGCCGAGATTACTTGCGGACGTGCATAGACTCTCAGGCTTGGGCATTCTAGGAGGCCTGACTTGATTCTAGATAGATTCATGAGCCCGAAGCAAGTCATGGCAGAAGTACTGCTAACAAGACTGCCACAACCCCGTCTCAGGGATCTTGGGTGGTGTCGACGTCCGAAGAAGATGGGCGAAAGATTCATTCAGAAGGATGCGTTCATCAGGCAGATCGACGAAGCCAGCTGTGCACGGCCAGTGACTTCCTGCTTCCCTGGTTCTCTGCTGACAGAACTGATGGTCCTGCAGAAGAATCGTACTAGCCGGAGGGCATCACCTTACTTCCTCCCTGCTCGCCTCTTACATGGGGTTCCAACATCTAACAACTAAGCTTCCAGCAATCCCTTGCGCTCTGTTCAAACGCTTCATCGTTTCTAGTCGAGTGCGGTTAGGGGTTTAGGGGTGTCTCTTTCTCTTGTCGCATCTTTTGACTTGGGCGGCATCGTTCTTCTTCCTGCTCGCTGCTCGCTGTCTCACCTTGAGAAGCATCAGACTGCCGAAATGATGCAAAAGGTCTGCAATCGACGCCGTACTGCAAGCCCTTATCCTCAGTTTCCAAACGGTGCACCACCAAGACCTGCTAGCATGAAACGCTGTTGGAGCAGCAAGAGAGCAACCATGCCCGAAGCGGGATGCGGCGTCCAGGGACCTTTCCCTCCTTCCAGGCGAGTGCGTCAAATCGAGGAGCTACTTCAGATGCGGCTTACGCTCTGGAGGCGCCTGTGTTGGTCTTCGACCGATTCTGAAGGTTGGCCTTGGATGCCACTCTTTGGACACTGACCAAACATTAAAGTCCTGGGCAAGGATGGTCATATCTTGCTCGATTGCCGTAGTCAAACCAGCCAAGCCGCCAATTCCTGCGCCAACTGCGCAAGCTTGCTCGCCTCAAGCTTGACGCTGAGTGGAACACCCCCTCTGCCCTCCGCGGCCCTAGCCAGCACACCTGTTGAACATCCCGAGGACCAGTGAACCGGACTTTCCCTAAGTGCTTGCAATGGCTCTGGCGCAAGCTTAGGCAACATGCCGACAGTATCCGACCATAACGATGCATCTGCCGTTTGCGTATGCAGGTGCGGGCCACACCAGAGCCACAAAACAAACTGTAAGTTATGAACAGGCAGCCCGGGTGCATTGAGGCTCTTTTGCTCCCGGCGAAAATCCTCCACATCCTGAAGCCATTGGAGCCCTGAGCTGCCAAGGGCGAATGCATCCGGGTCGGGGCGCTGAAAATCTTCAGAGCTGCTGTCAGGTGGCTTTCCTCCTCGTCATCTGCATCGCCCTGGCACCGTCGACACCGCCCAATCCCACAGCCACACAGCCACACCTGCTCCGAACCTGTGGGAGGTCGTTGCTGGGGTCGCTGGCGCTGTAGAGGAGCACCCTCCGGTCCATGCCAGCGGACGCCTGCGCTGGTTGCTGATCTTAAAGGGACTTTCAGCCGAAGCGTCACGATCGGCTGCTGCCTGCTACTCAAACCTTGCCGAGGTACAAGGACATCACCCGATGGAGAAAAGGCCAGGGCCAATGGAGTGTCCTGTGTTTCCACACCACTTGCAGCAGCACCAGGCAACTCCATGGAACTAATTCTCAAAGTTCAGTTAGCATCGGTGGGTTTGCCCGCAGCTCGGCTTCTCAGAACACTCGCCTTGTGCCGCCCAAGCCTTCTTACCACCATCCCACTCTCTGCATCGTAGAGAACGACCTTGCAAAACATGGCAGAAGCAGCTGGCAGCTGCTGTGCTGGGGTCTTTCTACCAGGCGGCGGTCGGCGACTGTCCAACGGCACCGTGGCAAGCAGCAACCAGACGCCCACCTGAAGCTCGCGGCTCGCGGCTGTGGATCCCAAACCGAGCATCTGCTGCTGCGCTGTGCCTGGAGCAAAGGCAACGGCCCAAAGCAGCTGCGGGTGGCGTCGGACGTGGCGTGGGACCTCACAGCTTCGCATCTACAGCACGCGAACCCAAGCGTCGTCTGACAGCCGAGGTGCAATTTCTTTCGAACATTTGGCTAATGATCTGCAGGCCGCCACTTCATCTTTGGAGAGCGACCACAGACGAAACCTGCGCAAAAGCAGCTTGCAGAGAAAAATACAGTCGATTTCTGGGACTGGGACACCCATATGCACTAAACTTACGAGTACTAAACACAAGACAAATCTGTTTTGCAGGACTGATCCACTAGGGTTGGAAGTTCCGCTTGATCTCCTCGAGCCATGGGCAGTAGGCCGTGGCAGGCCTCCTGTCCCAGCCTGCGCTTGCAAGCTGAAGCTCTCTGTCAGACCATGCGACAGCGGTGACGTGATCCTCACAACACCGTGGTCAGGAGTGTGGGATGAAGCCTAGGCATCCAGCTTTGAAGCAACTGCTCGCATCGTGAACTGAAGTCTCCTTGTGGCCGGACAGTGTCCACAGCAGTCTTTGCTGCTCCACATCCCAGATTTTCACCGTCCTGTCTGGCAGGTTCTCGACAAGGCGAGCAGCTTCTGCGAGCCCCAAAGCACCTGTCCGCAGAAGCCGTGGCCACCAGCGTCGGATCGAAGGCTGAGTGGGCGACCTCAGCTTCGCCGACAGGCGAGCAGATGTCGGCGGGACTCTGAGCCGGGTCGAAGGTGCCGGCGGATACCGCGGGCCAATGAACAGACCAAGCGGCTGCGTAAAGTCCTCCTGCCCAGCCATCAGCATTTCTCACTGTACATGAGTCTTGAGGATGCGATCCGAGAAAGACCATAGGCACCATGAAATCCAGCGGCCGCTCTGCCCGTGGTTGGCTCTAGAAAGTTCAACAAGTGCAAGTGCCTCCTGCCGGCACCCGAACCTTTCCCATGAAGTCTCAACGCCAGAACGAATGCACGAGGCTTCGGGACACCGAAGCAATAATTGGAACAACGATTTCGAGAAAGGCAGCAGCATGCGCTTTCCTACACGCACCAACGACGTTGCCGCAGCATGCACGACCAATTAGTACCGAACTTGCGAGCACGAGAAGGATGACAGCAACAGTGGCAACGATTCAGTCACGAGTCACGATGTTGCTTCTGAATCAGTCCCTGAATCTCACCATCACAGGGACGCCTCTGCTGGGAAGCTCGGCCAGGGCCAACCCATGGCCCTGCGTGAAGAGCCGCAGACCGCCGTCCCAGGCCGCCGTGGCAAAGCCGCCTAACCAAACGTTGGCTTGACGTCACATGACTTGGCACTTCCATTGCTGCTGCAACACCGCTGGGATCGACAGAGATCCCAAAGACCTGAGTTGCTTTTTCCTAGTGCATCAAGCATCTCAAACAAAAACGATTCATGGACTTCCGCTGTTTCTGCATGGAGGTGGGAGAGCGCGAGAGAGAGAGAGAGAGAGAGAGAGAGAGAGAGAGACAGAGAGAGAGACAGAGAGAGAGACAGAGAGAGAGAGAGACAGACAGACAGACAGACAGACAGACAGACAGACAGACAGACAGACAGACAGACAGACAGAGAGGGAGAGAGAGAGAGAGGGAGAGAGAGAGAGCGCGAGCGAGAGAGCGCGAGCGAGCGAGCGAGCGAGCGAGCGAGAATGAATTTATCTCGCCTCCCGGCAAGGTGGCGGGCACCCGTGTTGTTTCTACCCCGGAGGGCTAAGATGCAAGCGCGTGCCATGGGGCTCCGCAAGCGTCATGGCCCCATGCAAAGCAGAGCAAGCACAGCAGAAGCAACGGCAGGAAGAGTTTGGAAGTGGGAATAGACCATCAAAACGCCAAGCAAGTACCCGCATGGCAAACATAACCCATGGGATAGAAGAACTTTGCAGCGGTCGCAAAGGTCTGCCTGGAGGGCCTGCCGACCAAGCTGGTGTACGTGCAGACAGGTAGCAGATGCAGTCGGATAATTCGGCCTGCAACTTCCATGTGCAAACCAAGGGAGCCAAACAGGGGCGACCCAAGGCGTGCGGCAGATGCAATGGGAGTACCAACCAACAGGAAAGACTGCCACTTGATGATGATAAGATGCCTTCGCCGCTAGTCAGACAAACTGAAACTTGGCCTGGGTGGCCAGCGTGATAGTCGTGATTAGAAGACGATCAACGACCAGGTAGCAATATCAACACATGAGTTCAAGTCACAATGTCCGCAAGGCCATAAAAAAGCCGTAGCCAACCGGACAGCCAAGCCGCTGCACGACAGTACAAAATAACGTGACGCTGAGAAGTAGCAGGATTGGAGTCGTCGTCGCCAACGTCGTCGAAGTGGTTGGACCCGCCCAAGAGATCGAGTAAATGCTCTGCATACACCCACACCAGCAGAGGCAAGTCATTTCCAGTGGTCTCAACGACGGAGGCGTCCCCGCAGATTTGCCAGCTGAAACTAAGAGCATGAATGCAAATAATACCTCAATATTGTACGGCACGATCGCGCTAGGTGCCACCAGGCGGGGGAAAGGGATGACTCGATGCCGGTCCGGGAGTCCGCACCCTTTCCAGCACCAGCCAACGCGCGCGGCATAAGCAAGAGCACCAAGTCACAAAGTCACACTTGGTTTCTGGTTTCGGGGATGGGCTTTACTTTTCTTCTCTGTGCAGCAAGGAGACCGTCCTCGGGTGGGGGATTCGCTGCAAGATCCTCCCGGACGCCTCGGGCCGTGTCGCAGTGTCGCTGCTGCGCTGAAGCTCGGAGCTGATGCTCCGTCGAAAGCCATCCCAAAACTGCTCCAAGGCTCGAGGTCCCAGCGCAGCGTGGTGTTGTCTGCTGCTCCAGAGAGAAGGGTGCCATTCTTGGCGAAAGCAAGGGCCGTAACGCCATAGCGATGGCCAGTGAGCCTTCGTGCAAAGTGGAGTTCGGAAGAAGTCCCGTTCAAACTCAAGGTTCACTGTAAGCAAAGCTCACGGTAAAACCCCGCAACATGGACTCTGAACTCCTTGATCTTTATCCTGATCTGATCTGCCAAGCTAAGATTCGGGCTTGCGACAGGGCCTCAACTTGTCAAAGGGATGTTGCGCATACACGCTGAGCAACTTTTCAAAGCCCGTGACTCTCGCAGTCAAGCAGCCGCGAGGGCGTGGAGATATTCCAGACACAGATCATGCCCTCCTGCCACAAGAGTCTGCAAGAGTCTACCGAGGATGGCGGGGTTATCGCAGCAAGACTTGTTGCTGCAAAGCATCCGCTGAACCCAAACTCTGATGTCCCGATGATAACTCTAGGAGCTGTGGCAGCGATATGCTGGTGCTCAGTTGATGCTACTGCTACAGCTGGGACGTGAAGCACTCGTTAGTTCAGCAAGCAAGCTGCAGTGGGCCTCTGAGAGTTGCCCTGCCCTTGCAACCCAACAGGCATGGCACAAGATCTATGGGGCTGGATTCTGGAGTCCAAAGAAATGCCTGTGCGTACGTGTGTCTGTCAGCCACGCTACTCGAATTAGATTCCAGGTGATGTACGAGCAGCCCCTTTCTGTTCAGCATCAGGCACATTGCTACCTCAGCACGTCACTCCCCTCCAGAACAAGTTTTTCGAATTGTAGCGGCGGTGCGGTGGAGGCCCGCCCGGCCCGCCGTGCCGCACCCCGTATCGCGAACCACACCGTGAACCTCCCGGCGCTGCACCTCGCATCGACCCCCACCGGTGGAAGCCCTGCGCCCCCGTATCGCGACCCCTAGCCCACACCCGGTGCGCCGCACCCAGTATCGCGGCCCACGCGGTTGGAAAATCCAAAGCAAAACCCAACTCCCGAGGGCTGTTTTGGTGGAAAAAACAAGCTTAACCCACGGGGGCCAGACCTTGTCACCGGATGCCAATAGACCCTCGGCTGAGATGGCGATGGCATAGATGGCACGCCTGTGGCCTGAACCCAGGGTACAGAGATGCACACAGTTTACTGTCACGGCATCGCCGTGCCTTGCAGCTGTCCCAGGAAGCCCGGATGTGGGGTTCCATTGGAAGGCTCGGGCTGCTCCTTCATGGGCTTTGTACTACAGACTAAGCGGGTGCGTAAGGCTGGGACAGGGGGTCCTAGTAGTGTTTTTGGGGCGCCCCCCCAGGATACATTAACTCATAGGGTTTCCTTGACGGAATGGAATGTATCTGGGGGGGTGTGAGGGACGCTCTTCGTTTTGAAAATAAATAAATAAATATATATATATATATATATATATATATTTGCTTGGATGGCTCAACCCTTCAACCCGGGTTTGGAAGGATGTCAGACGGCTGAGATCCTTCGATCGTAGGGTGCCGGCTCCGTGCAGGGAAAGGGTTAGGGCCAGGGATTCCAGCCGGCTGAAATCCTTGGCCCAGGTTACGAAAAATCCCCGAGGTTACCCTGGTGCCGTTTTCCCCTGGCCTCCCCGGTAATCCTTTAAGGGGACAACAACGCATCACCTGGTCACCCATCTCTCTCGCTCTTTCTCTCTCTTTTCTCTCTCTCTCTCTCTCTCTCTTTCTTTCTGCTGGGCATAAGGGTCGCATGCGACCCCAAGGCACTCGGCCCGCCCAACCACCCCCTGTATTATGGAGTGGCTGGTTTCTGGGGTATTCCAACTCACTCTCTCTCTCTCTCTCTGTCTCTCTCTCTCTCTCTCTCTCTCTCTCTCAGGAACTGACATGACTGCAATGCGAAAGCCCTCCGCTGACAACTGCATGACCTCCGCTTCTAGAGCTCTCTCCTTCTCTCAAGCCTCTCCGCTTCTAGAGCTCTCTCCTTCTCTAGAGCCTCTCCTTCTCTAAAGCGTCTTCCCTTCTAGAGCTCTCTTCTTCTCTAGAGCCTCTTCTTCTCTAGAGCCTCTCCGCTGCTAGAGCTCTGTCCTTCTCTAAAGCCTCTTCGCTTCTAGAGCTCTCTCCTTCTCCAGAGCCTCTCCCGCTTCTAGAGCCCACAACCATGAATACGAAACGAACGCACAACAAGACTCCACCCTCCAACACCAAAGTGCCTATACACCCACACATGGACCCCCCCAGGATACATTGCGCAGCCCCCGAATGTATTCTTTCTACCCGCGGGCCCCCCCTGGATACATTAGTTGGGAGGGGGCTTAGGCTGGGAGTGGCAGTCCGGCTCGTGAGCGGCAGCAGCCGTTTCCAGACATGGCCAAGAGAACCTGGGTTGAGGTTACGGTTGCTGAGCTGTGCTGTGCCTGGCCAGCCTGCACCTGAACAACAAACACCTCTCTCTCAGTCCGCCATCAAGCAGCAAGACCACTGCGACGAGCACTCGGTGACGTGGCATGGGAACGCAGTTGTGTTCGTGTCCGACCAGATAGCTGTATTCTCGTTCTGCACTTCAGATCAGGCACTTCCTGCAGAGGAACTGCATTCTTCATCTCTGGCTGTATGACGACGTGGGATAGGGATAAAGCTTCAGCCCCGGCAAACCAAGACTGTTAAGATGACCTCGCACTAATTCCAAGCATGGTAGTGGAAGCTGCCAGTTGGCCCAAGATGGCTGCGTGAGCAGCACGGTCACGGCTCCAAATGCACAAGCCCGCGAGCATTTCGCTTGGTACGGAGCTGCTCTTTGTCCTTGCATACCCTGAAAAGAGCAGGGACAACCTTGTCATCCGTGCACTCCACATGGGCGAAATCCATTTCAACCTCTGCACCATGGCTGATGAGCTGAACCAACAGATCTCTAGATCGGTTGTATGGGCTATGAGTGCCTAGCCGTCCCAAGCCCTATCAATTCCAGTGTGCATGGGTACTCCATGCTAGCAAGCTTTCATCACAGCTGCATTCACGTAAGGATTTGGAAGCTGAGTCGTGCCAAGATGGATTCACGACGAGGGCTGCAAGGGCGAATGAGTGGAGCAGCTGGGCCTAGATCACCCTCAGATAGCAAATCTCAAAGCCTGCATGCCCACAGCTCGGCGATACTCTCGAAGACTTACGTTCCCTATCAAACCACGCTGGAAGCACAGCCATGGTATCACTGTCCGGGCACACCTGCCGTCCAACGTGATAACGAAACTACTGAGCTGCTGAAACTCTTCAGCACAGAACAAAGATGACGAATCTGCCCAGGGTCGACAACAAATCGGCCCTAAGACGCATAGAGTCCCAAGGGTGCTGGGTTCTGCACCCCCTGGCTGGGAACCTTAGTGAAAGCGAGTGAACCCCAGACCAACTGTGGGGGTTGGCCTGAATGAGCTTACACCACACAGTCCAAGGTCTTAAGGAAGTCGACATGGCCAGCATGCACGCTCTTGCTGCCATGTATAAGGAGGCTCTGCGAGGACCCAACAGTTGCAGCCGCTGCATCGAAGAAGGGAAATGTGCGCTGGCAGGCCTTTTGGGGCGGCTCCGGGATGTCCCCTCAAACCCCGTCCCGACAGCCGGCGGACAGGACGGGCCTTGCACCAGGACACGTGGAACATCACGAGCGCGGCCCGGTTCTTGTCGCGCTGGCAAGCAAGACACCGAAATCAGTGGAGTTCAGAAATGTCAGCGAGTTTTTCTTCATCAAATGCCAAGGCTGGACTCCAAGCCCCTGCTCCGCACCTCATTGGTCATTTACTTATAGCCATCGGCGCAGTGCATCGCATCATCGGCTACTCGTTGTACGTTTTTCTCTCCCGATGCTCAGACAAACCGTGCCACTGGCTCAACTCTCAAATCCCGCTCGGGACGTAATCCGCCCCTTGCCTGCCCTTGAAGGAAGCTGTCAAAGGTGTCGCGGGTCCTGCCATCTGCACCGAAGCATGAGGATCCCAGGCTGCTCATGATAACGCAAACACCATGTCGTGGGTAATGATGCCAGGGGGGCAAAGCGATGGCGTTCTTGCCTTTGTCTCCTTCAGAATTCAAGCAGAATCCGAACGGTATACTGCCGCCTGCATCGTCCCAACAGCATGCCCAAATTCCGAGTTTCCAGTGACGCTTGGCCTGTGAGTTGACATTGCTTTGGGAAGTACACAGTGCAGCATGACCCAGCTTAATCAACATGTCCGGAAATCGATGCCTGTACTGCAGTCTGTATCGTCAGAAACTGCAAGATGACAGTGCCCATCAGGTCACATCAACAGTAGGTGAGACGCATGCTGGTGCCTGAGGCGACGCTGCTTGTAAGCCTGATTCAGGACGAGCTGCGAAGTACATTTTCGAATACGAAACTTGAACCCTGTATGCAGCGGAGGCCCGTTGCACAAGCAAGAAAGTGCAAGAAACAACATACAGCAAGGCATTACAACCGACCGCTCGGCTGCCTTCTCTACAAGATCCGATCACAGTGGCTGACTGAGTTACCGACAAACAGCATAGCAGCGAGATGCCACCTGTTCCAATACTCATCGTAGTAACAAACAACACCGAGAGTAGCAGATTCAGCTTGGCATTATGTCATACCTAGGAGTCTGCTCTTGCGAGCCTGCAGCTGCAATAGACTACAGCCACGTTGCTACCCGAAAGGATTCACATCCTCAGACCAGACGCTGTAAATCCCGCATTCTGAGAGCCGTGCTAGCACAGCCCCACATGCGCTTCATGCGAACTACGCAGTTTGTACGACTGTCCAACTGTCGAAGCAAGCTGTACATTCTTGCTGAGCGGGCCAAACTTAAGCAACTAACATCAGACACAGGTCTTCATTATCGATATAGCTGAGGACAACCTCATCCTGTGCCCAAACTTTCTCTGAACACCAATGATGCTGTCATGCTGCAGGCGACATATGGAAATTGAGATGATGGCAGTCTTAGGGTCGCAGCATTGGAATAGAACGGGGGGACACGAAAATCCATTGGTGGCATCTCTTCAACTACTCCTCGATGCAAAGTATAATTGAAAGACCTGACATCAAACGACCTGTCATACGAAGAGCATTACATACTCACAAGATGATGAGTCTTCCACTGGGCCATGAGGAGACACTGATGTATTCAAGGGCTGACACGGTTGACGCAGGCTTAAGGGCATGGACTCGTGCGGTTGAGGTGGGCATCAGAATCCATCAACGTTTCGGAATGGCAAAGAACTGTGCTACCAACGCATGATGGCCGTGGACGGTCCCAGCACCGCTCTCGAGGTTCTCTTAGTGAGGGTCTCGTTATCATTGTTGCCAAAGAGGCGTAAGATGAAAGGATGCGCAAAGTGCAGCCGGGCGTGTACCCATTACCTGGCAATCTGGACGTGTTCGAGCGTAGCCTGCCGTTCAAAGAGCTAAGGTTCAGCAGTGTTACACACAGGAGGATCTGGTGCTGATCTCCCACAGGTTGCACAGGTTGGCAAATCTGGCTCGGATGCTGCGAGCTTTTTCCCGTGCTTCACTGAGCTGTCGCGCATTGTCTGCCTCAGCACCACAGTTGCGCTTTCCTGAAGCTTCTGAAGAGTTCTGGACCGGAAGATGCAGGAATGGTATCATGGAAAGGATTCCCTGCGCCGAGCCAATGACTGCGGTCTACCAGCCGCTGAACGATGCACTCCTGACCAAGACATTTCCATGGAGTCCGGCTGCTGAACGAACTAAGCATGTGCTGTGCAATGTTTCATGCCGCGATATTCAACACAGAAGCGGCTCTTGCCCACAACTCGCCAGTTTGAGCTCTGCACATGACATAGGCCGATATCATCGTGCCGCATAGCACGTAAGACTTCATTGCAGATTCGTGCATCAACAAACAGCGCAGCGCAAGTGCACATATCAGCTACCCACACATGGTCAGATGTCAGCATCATGTGCAGGTCGATCTTTTGCATAAACGATGACGTGCTCATCAAGGCACGGCCCCCACAGCGAGCAGCTAAAGCTGACACAAAGCATAGCTATGCGCTCTGGCGCGGAAGACCTAGGGTGGCTCGTTGGGCCCCTTGGCCAAGTGATTCAATGAAGCTTTGGAATCCAGCAGGGCCAGGATCTGGACGGAGCTCTTGTGGCCCCTTTTGTACAGTCAGTCGTTTCCATACTGATTCAATGAAGCGGATTCAAAAACACTGTAACGCATATCTAAGCAGCAGCCGCGGCTGCTGGCAGCACCGTCATATCCTTGCAAACTAACAGACATCCAAGTCTTAAATGGGCAAGGCTTTCCGTCTCTGCCTGGGGAAGACCATTACCGAGCATGCACGCAGCGGGACCTGTCATGCCAGTTCACAGCAGCATCTGCTTGCCATTACAGCGGTAGCAGGCAGCCTTCCACAAGGAACAAAGGCAAGAGTGACACCTGAGGGCATCAGCTTGTCATTGCACATACCACTGCGAAATGCAGGTTCTTTGCACGCAACCGCGGAATGCCACACTGCTCTGCAAATCCTGCCCGGATGGTCTACTCAGAAAATCAGTCATTGGTCAGACCATTGTATGCATCAACGGCACGAACAGCGACAGCACGAACGTCATCAGCAGGTATGCGCAGCACACATATACCTGGGTCCAGCAATCTGAAGATAGGGAGCCCTGGCTCCTTACGATTTGGCCGGATAGCTGACAGCTCCACGGGCTCATCGAGAACATACGCACCAGCGAAGTGCAGAACAAAGAGGTTCCTCGGGCAGAGGGCTGAAGAAGCTAGACACAGACTCGCTGCGTCGAGGGCATCCGCTGCTGGGATCCCGGCGACAGGCAGAGCCCGGGGCTAAGTCGCGAGAGGAAGCGCAGCAAGGACCAGGAGCCCTCCTGCTCGCGGCACACAGGAGCTGCTTCCCTTCCGAAGGCCTAGGTACCACAACTCGCAGGAGCCAACCGTAAGTTCCAAGAGAGAACATTAATTATATGACATGTATGTCGACCTTTCGGCTCCATGATCCGCAGATGTAGTCAATTTTCGGAAGTGCAGCTCACGGGCGAGGCTTACAGACTCAGCCACCAGAACGAAACGACAAACAACACCGGCCCACTACGCAATCAGCTTGCAACCAACACGCGATGACGAACGAACAGGACCTGATTTAGCAAGAGGGCTTGTTTGGTTGCGAACAGAGCAACCACTAGGCAGAGTACTGCTCGGCCGGCCCCAGAGGTCACGCCTTGAAATTACTGTCATTCATTCCGGCGTTCCGTCCCCAAGAAACAACAAAGGCTTCTAAACCACTTTTCCTCTATGTACGCCCTCCTGGCGTTGAGGAAGCGCTTGCCAGCCCAGCTTCAAGTGGATCACCATTCCGAGCCTCACCGTATGTCACTCATCGCGAGGCTTAACGAGCGATGCTCGCTTGCGCTCCACCGGTGCCCGCGCAGCGGAAGGGTACACTGGTTCAAACCGTCCAGTGATGCGCGAAAGAACTCCAAACGAGCTCCCGGCACAAACACCAGCTCGTAAAAATGGCAGAAAATCACCTCAACTGCAGGAGTGTATAGCTCATGCAGACTTTCACCTGCAATGACGATAACGTGCATTCCGTCGCAGACAGGTCGCATATTGCTCCTGTCCTATTGGATGCAGCGCCTTGAGGAAGTTTGCCATACCCTCAAGGCTAGGCAAGGGAAACTCGAATTCTCCTCCGGTAGTAAGCGCGTCCTGAAACTCCAGATTCTCTGAGTGCCAGCGAATGCACAATGCAAGAAGCAGACACGTTTCCAGGTGCATCATGTCCTGGAGGCAAGTTGCTCCAACGCCTCGCATGCACGGATGGTTCACTGGCGTGCTGTCTCGCTTCTTTTCGGACGGCTTCCAACCCGTTGAAACTGCACATATACTCGATTCACCCAACCGGCAGCTGGACCGAGTTCTGAAACACAGATCGGCAGGGTCTTTGGGAATGAGTACTGACTTCTGGCCACTGTCAAAAGGAAAACTGTGGCATTTGAATGGGCGGCATAAGGTTACCTCAACTGCGCGTGCTTGAGGACCTTGTTGGGAGCTCTCGGTTCAGGCGAAAGAGCCGAGCTGATCAGTGCCGGGATGCATGTGCTCGCAAGAATTCGCAGAGCGTATCGCCAGGGCGGTTTGGACCGGGGACAAAGCTGCAGCTCGTAAGGGCTGAGCCTCAGTGGCAGCCCGGCTGGGAATTCGTGGCCTGTGGCGACAACCTTTGCTGCCGCGGGACCAGGAAGAGATGGCCAGGGTCGCAAGTGCTGCGGGCCTCGCAGACTCTCAGAGACGAGTCCTCCGAAAGGCCGTGGAGATACGAGTACCGAGACGCTGGCAGCAGGCCGGTAAAGTGGTGACCGGCCCCGTTGAAGGAGGCCTCAGCCGCTCCAGCGAGCCGAAGAAAGCAGCGAGTTGGTGTTGTGCTCGCCTGGGGGCCATGCACCAGACACTGTGTGATAGCTCAGAATCACCGCAGGCACCTCCAGGTAGCATGCAATCAAACCTAATCAGACCTGCTTGCTGCAACCACTTGCAACCAGCACCCACAGCAAGTGCGCCAAGGTGGCAGCGCGGAAACGGCCTCAGCTCTGGCTGTGCATCTGGAAAGCGCACTCGTTGAGTTGATCCAAGTTAGTGGCCCATTGCAGAGAGCAAGCCGAACGCCACAACGTCGACCTGGAACAAACCTGCAACTCATGCGCTGCAGCCGAAGACGCGGCTCGCCCCTGATCGTGAACACAAGGCCCTTTCCTCGGGCTTGGACTCTCGAAGATGTCGGTATTCATGCAAGGCGAAGCCCTGCTCGTCTGCAAAGCAAAAAGCACACAGAGTCACACATACTAAAATCCAACACTTTATCGACAGAAGACCAACCAGTCTTCAGTTGGGCCAGGCGCCTGCCCATCAGCGGCCCATGCACCAAGAACGAGCTCGACAGCAAATGCAGTGGATGCTCCTGCAGCTGGCAAGATCCAAAACGCCACGCCTGTGCTCTGCCCATTGAGGTCAGTGCACACTCATCTCGCTTCGCGCTGTAGTGGTGAAACAGCCTGAACTCAGGTTCCGCATGTCGTCGTGACGTCGTCATGCTCGTTGGTTTGAGCAAGGAGAGATCAGGCGTGGCAGGGGGGCAAAGGCATCGTCACCACACACGCGGTTCATGTCGCACAACGCTGTAAGGCATGCACGCATGAGACTTCAAAATGTTGTTCATGGGAACATCTGTGAAGGGCGCGTGAACGAAAACCTCAGTCAGACAGCGACATCACGGCTCCAAAGAATAATGCTCCGAGCCCCCTGCGAAGCTCCAGAATGAGACCACTGGTGAAATCACAAGCCATCCTCGTCATGACTCAAGCTTCGCTGCGTGCATCTCTTTGCAAAAGAGTCTCGAAACGTGAAGCCGAGCTTCTCTTCAAGATGTGGTACAAGAGGCCTCTGACCCAGCCCCAAAGGGTGATCGCCTGCGGCTCCCGAAGACAAGCCTTCATGGACGTGTCCAGCCAAGTTCCCCTGCATCGCCTGTTTCAAGGACCTGCGGCTGATGCTGAGGTGGACCAGGAGCACCACGAAGGCCACATTCACGCGGTTCAGTCCACCTCCGGCGATGCATGGAAGGGGAAGGTCGAAGGCCCCCCCCCACCAAAGCCAGGCCAAGCCACTGCGCAGGAGCCAGAGCCAGGCTCCGCTCGTGCGCTGGGTGACGGGAAGCCAGGGCCCATGGTCGACGACGTGGATGAAGATCACCTCAGAGCTCCGCTCTCTGTGGCAAATCTCTGCTCGTGTCTTCCTGCCGCGCGGCAACGGCCGTGAGCCAAAGCCTCACAACGTCCAGGTCCCGCGGCCCTCGGGCTAGGCCGAGTCGCAGCCTTCAGAGGGGAGGTCTGCAGCGGTGAAGGCCCCTCGGTGTCCGTACTTCCGAGGCCCGGGCAGATGAAACTGCGGCGCGAGGCAGGGTGGAAACTCGGATGCTTCCCTGGAGCGGTGAAGGGATTCTGTGTGTGTGTGCTTATATCTGAGTATGAGAAGGCAGGCTAGTTCGCACCAAGATGCCTGGGGACTAAAAGACCAGTAGCAGCCGCTGCAAGAATCCTTGTCAAGATCCCCAAGACTGTCACAAGGTTGAAACTTTTCACAAGACTAGACTGGCTTTTGGCTAAACCAGCAATGGTGGCTGATCACTTGAGAGAAGCTACATCAGTGTCACGGTGATGAGCCCAGAGACGCTCCCGCCGATGTACTTGCCGTGCCTCGACACCGCAAATTGTCCCCATGTTCGCCCCCTTCAGCTTTCGTTAAAGACGAAGGCGAATAGAAACGAAGCTTGCATCCGAGCAGCTCGAGGATTGCAAACTCCCAGCCTGTCACTTTCGACTCGAAACGGTCTCTTCGCGTGTCCAACCTCAAGGAGGATCGTGACAGGGGGCCGTGCAGCTTCTCAGCGAAGACATCAGCATCCGTGGGCCGTGGTGCGACCCAAGCCTTAGCGGCGGCAGACCGGAGAAATGCAAACCCTTCGTACATGCTGATTACTCAGCCAAGGTGCTGTCCAAGCGGAGCTGAGCCGCTGCGACCGATAGACTTTGTGTCGGGCAGCTAGCGGAGGTGGCAGCAAAAAGTGTGTCTCCTTTGAGCTGACAGCAGAGCTCACTTCCACGGAATCTGCAGTGTACGGCGCTCGCCGAGGGACGTTCAGCAGCTGCGGCTCCGGTCGAGGAGCCCGCCACCAAGGCACAACGCGCGGGGCAAGGTAAGCGGCCGTCGTCTGCGCACGTGAGGGGGATGTTCTACAGATTGTGGTCACGAACATCAGGGCTGGGTACCCAGCCTCCAAAGAGCATGGCTCTGGCACACAAAGACCGCCAACAAAGGAAGTCCTGACCCAGCAGGGCAAGTCCCTGCGCTCTCTCGTGGATCTCCTGCGTGGACTAGGTCCTGCTGGGTCGCAATGGCTGGAGACGATGTATCGACTCCCGCTTCAGACCCTGGCATACAAGCACAGTGCAAGCCCGGTAAAGCAAAGCATGCAACTCCTTACTCGTGGCCTCCACACTCCACGGTTTCCGGAACCAGGGTGTCCCTGTCCAGTCCTCTTCGATCCTCGGAACTAGAGAGATGGAGGAAGGAGGCTTGCAAAGACGAGACGGCAATGTTTGCCTCTGTTGCATGTGTAACTGTGTAACCTCATCTTCGAACCTAACGCCTCAATCAATCCGCAAAAACGCAGCCTCTCGCTTGCCGCTCGAAGCATCGCACTCGGCCGGGTGTCACTGGAGGGCCCAACGACGCCAGAAGAAAGAAGCGCTCTTTCGGACAATGCTTCGGAGTCTGTTCCAGATCCTTACTGATACTGCAACGGAAAACACCCAAAAATTCTCAGCCATCTTGCTGACAGAGGTGCCAAAGCCACATTCCTCGTGTTCAGGAGACAAATGACCTTGATCGAGCAACATCTCTCGACAAATTCAATCTGCTGATTGCGCTCACATGGCCTGGCCTGAGGATCCGATGCATCTGCCACCTTCCAAGCCTGACGGGACCAGGGTTTCCGACAAGGTGACGAAAGCCAGATGCAGAAGGCACGGCACATGCAGGCTTGAAGTCTTCACAGCCTCCACTGGATCGGCGATTCCATCACAGCAGGCGGCTCGGGTAAACTGGTCGTCCCAGCAGGCTGCAGCCCCTTGCATACCTGATCACCACGAGCAGTTCATTTCTGTAGCCTCTCCATTGCCACTGCACCACCTGAAACACATGACAGCTGCTGCGACCCAGCAACAGAGACAGCCTGTGCATAAGAGAAGAACTGGATCTGATGATGCCCGTCACTTGCACTGAGACTAGCTGCACAGCTCACGAGCGCTGAAAACTAAAAGCGAAAGAAATTCGCGAATCCTGACAACTTTTGCTTGCGCAGCAACTTCAGTCAGAGCACAGCAGTATGCGAAAGTGAAGTCGCTCTGCCAGCATTCCACACCTAGCCAGGATGCAACAAAGCTCTGACGCTCACGACCGCTCCCCCCCCAGCCCAGCCCCCAGCCCTTGGGGGCGGGGCCTGAAGGCCGAGCGGCGCCCCTGCGTCAGCACTTTGTTTCTGTTGTGTCCTCTGGGAGGTCGAGTGGGAGATGAGTCTCCTAAAGAGGCGGGCATGCTGCTAACAACTCAGCTGCGCGTTCCTCATCATGCTTCAGTATACGCCTTGCAGTAAATCTGCCTGGTCATTACTCGCAGTTCCTTGCACTTCGCTCTGCTCAAGCTGCTTTCCCGCATGCATCTCGTCATCGAGATCGCACAAGCGACGCGATGACAAGAAGCAGGCTCACCGACGAAGAGTATACCAAGCTGGCAGTACGGGATACACTGTGTTTTTGCGACTCAACAGCCGTATTGCCGTCAGTTTCAGAATGTGATACAGTTGTAATACAAGAATGTGACGACCGCTTGCGAGCAAGCATGACCGACGCGATGAATCGCCATGACTTCCCATCTAATCCAATTTGCTTTCGACTCACCACATCCCGCAAGTATGCTGGACCCTGCTGGACAGATGCGACAAGTCCAGGAGGTATGTATAACTTGCTGGAGCGACTTTTTGCCCCCCCCCCCTGCAGTCTTATTGCATCACCGCTTCAGTGCCAGCGTGCTCCACTTCCCTTTCCTCTGACAATTAATGACATCTCTCGCTGAACTCTGGTGGGGACAGGACAGCGCGCAGGAGCTCAAGCAGTGGACTCAAGCGACGCGTTGATGCGGCAGTCTTACGACACATTTCAGCGGGCTGAGTGCTTAACGGTTTTCGGTCTAATCAACGACCGAGTCTCAGAGGTTCGGCTTCCGAAGGTACGCTGGACCTGGGAGCTCCGCCCGGTGGGATCCCCGCCTGCCGGCTTTCGGCGCCGCGGGTTCCTTGGGCGGCCGTAGCAGCGGCTTCGCCTCGGGGGAGGCGACGGCATCCGGCCAAGATGCGAAGTTCGCGCCTCCCGCCTCACCGCGCCAAACCTGCTATCCTTTCTCTGAGGCAGCGCTTGGTCGTAGAAACCCATTGCAAAGTGAACGCCGAGAGCTCGGCTGGAGGCCGGAATGCCGGAGCCTAAATCAAAATGGAAAACGAGTTTCCCTTATGCGGCATGGCGAAGGACAAGGGCAGGCCTCGCCCAGGAAGCAGCAGCGGTCAAAGGTGTAGCGCCAGCCATCCCAGCAAGATCCCATGCCGTATTCGGACAGAGAGAGATCACCTGATCTTTTTCGGATAAGTGAAACATGAAGATACATGACACTGGACCTCTGATTGCTGACAAGCAGCAACACATTGCGTGGCTGGCAAGCCCACCCATTCCTCACAACAGCACACATGGCTCATATGCCGTGAGCCCATGAGTTCTCACCTTGCGCCAAGAGAACGCTGCATAGTATCAAGTCTGGATGGTCCACCAAAACAGTTTGAGCACGAAGACTGAAGCAAAATGCCTCACGTGGCAGTGGCGACCGAAAGTACCCCTGGGAGGTCAGCTGAACCGACCGCTGGGTACTGGAAAGGGACAAACAGCCACTCGAACCTGAGACCTCCTGCAACCCGTCGCCGTGACAAAGCAATACGTGTGCGCTTCTTCGAAACTTGAAGCGAAACCAAAACCATTGCGATAACCTGGCTGCACAGGAACACATCAAGCGAGGCTGTTGAACGAATGTACAAAAATCTTGTTACCAGTCACGAAAGACCTTACAACAATTGCCAAGCCAAGCTTCCTGTCCAGCAGTCCTTCCCCGGCTCGTAGGTCATGAACAGACCGATGCCTATCCTTAGTCACTCATACTAGATCTAAAACGAGCACCTTATGGCAACTGGCCCTGTAAAGCTACAGGCTCCATGTAGACGGGCTGAGAGGCTGCGGATGCAGATCCTGTGTCTTAACCTTCTCGAACGGAAGATCGCCGGCCTGCACGAAAGATTCCCTGCGCAAGAAATGCTGGCGATGCCGCCTCTGCAGGCCTGGCCTCTGGAAGAGCTCTTGCAGTCTCTCCGCAGCAGCCCTCGAAGGTGAGTTCCTTGTCTGTTGCAGTGTTGCAAGGCCCTCTCTGAGGAGGAAACTCGCAAACTCCGTTTCTCTTTCCCACACAGGCTGCGCCAACGGCCAAGGGGCTCCGGCCCAACAGGCCGCATTCCCTTCCGGTCCATATCTCCTTGGCTTTCAAACGGCCGCCTCGCGCTGTGCATGGTCAAAACCGCAAATCCCTCAGCCCGTAGTCTGAGCACATGGCCGATCGCAGCACAGCTCCTCAGAATACTCATCTGTCCAACAAACCTCCGCCGGTAGCGACCTGAGAAAGCACATCCATGCACATACTCCTGCAAGCTTGTAGAACCATGCTCTTTGACCTCCCGGTTTGGAGCACTGACACAGCACACTGTTCGCCTTTGCACGTAGTTTGAGAAAAAACACTTCGCTTAGTTCGGGCATGTTGTTTTGCTATGCACCGGAGAGGGCAGTGTGCAACAACTCAACACCAACCAGCTGCTCATAGTGCGGCCAATAGGGCTGTGACAGTATCGGAAGCAGCTCCGACAGCAGCATCATGTCACGCAAGGCAGCACATCGCATCGTGATGTTGGTTTAGCTTTTGCTTCGGTCCCACATCGATTGGCTTATGCTGTGCCTGCGTTTGTGCTCCTTGCTTCAAAGAACCACGGACGAAACTGAGCCATGACACAAAAAGTCTGGGACGTACATTCAGGACGGCTCCCTTCTCAGCTATTTGTATTCGCAGAACCTAAGGGAAAGCTGCATGAGTCAATCCTTGCAGGACATATGCTGACACCGCAGCCCTAAAGCCGACATGACAACTGACTTGGTCCAATCCATGACATGCCGATCAGTAGACCAAGCTTGACATGCACTCCGTGATCTGGAGCAGGATAATCATGTGAGCGGTTTCATCCTCTACCAAAGCTTGTGGCGCTAGTAAACCCTTGCCCGCTTGGTGCGTGCCGCTTCTACGGAGACACCTATCCCTCGCGCATTGCCTCTGAGGTCACTTCAGAGCTTTAAGCCCTTGTGCGGCGCAAGGGCGCCGTGCCCGCACTTGCGCGTTTCAGTGCCTTTTGCGGGAAAGCTTTGTCTGGGATATCGTCTTGCAGCCACGCCGATCTTGCTGCAGCAGTGACCCTGAGTTCAGCTAGCAAGGTTTCAACAGTGATAGCACGGATGTGGTTCTGAAAGGTTTCGTGATGGGGGCAATGACATGGATCTGTCGCCCGTGCTATGCCTCGCCACGCAGAGGAGACGGTGAAACATGCTCGACAGCGAACCTTGCACACACCTTCTGAGCTCCTTAAGTCTGTTCGAAACTCTGCTTGGGATCTGAGTTTGGCGCTACAGGACGATAAGCAGTACTAGTAATATAATCGTAGTGGTAGTAGTAGTAGTAGTAGTAGTAGTAGCAGCAAAGCCCAACGTTCTGAATGTGCCTTCTTCTGCCGCTTCGTCGGTGAGGCAGACCTGCCTGACGGCACCGCATGCCCTCAAAGATAACTCTGAGTAAAGCTGCAAGTGGGAGTCGAGGATTGGCTTCCTTTCTGGGGCTACCATGCATGGACAGACCGGCAAAAAATTGTGTGGTCATCGGGCTGCTGTGGGAGACGCAAGCCAAGTGCCTCATAGGGCCAGTCGTAACGCCACTACAAAACCCTTGAGGCCCGACCTAACTGGAGCCCCAGCATCAGATTTCTGAAATTTCTGAGATCGCGGTTGTACAGGACAGTAACTAGGACACTAGGCTCCAAATTCCCGGACCCTCTGCCCAAAGTGCAGCCTCATCGGAGGTCATGTGCAATCATGGCCGAAGAGTCGCATGCCAAGTGCTGAGTAAGTTGAGTGCCACATATTCCTCTTCAAAATATCTAAACTAAATCATGAGCTTCCCCCGGTAGTGCATGAAAGTTTCTATCCGCTTGAGAACACACTACCTGCATGAAGTTCTAGGACCTTTCCGCGACGAACAGACTGGTGCCTACCGCTTGCTGTTGCAACATAGAGCTGAGGGCAACCAGTCAGGACACCAGACCGCCGCGCAAGATTCAGCAACTGACGACCCCGAATCCTTCAAGCCCAAAGGGTGCAAACGACGAAAGCTGGGCATGAAAGGCGCGGCTGCAGGAGCGGGAGGTTGGCTGTTGCTGCTCTTCACCCAAGACATACTGCCTGACTCTACACTGAAGGAAAAAGCCTGTTATCTTGTTCAAGAAGTGTTAGATCCACTCCACCACCCGTTTTGGCAGCCGCTCGACAGTGAAACAGCAACCGATCTGCTCGGTCGGACCCACCTCTCGCCGGAGGACCTTAGCCTGAGACAGGGAATACAAGTTCTATCCCTGCGAAGATTGGATTTCAAACTCCTGAGAGTGACTCAAACGAAATGCCTTCGGAATCCGATGTCGAGAAGCCGCATGTCGGTCAGACCACGCCCAGGCTCTGCGCAACCCGTCCTGCGGCTGGGAATACGGAGGCTTCACCTTGCATCAGGCAGGATGGTTGAGGGTCCACTGCTGGAAACTTCGAAACAGATCCACAGGTGCTATGCTGGTACACTGCTTGATGGTATTTACTGTCACCTCCTCATGTGAGCAGCATTGGTATCGGGACAAGTCTTGCCGCTCTGGCCATCGTCGTTAGGACAAATCCCTCCACAGGCTGGGTCCTGCGACACACACCTCCGAGGAGGAATGGAACCTGCATCAGGCAAAGCAGTCTTCCGAGAAGAGGATCTGGCTCGTGCTGGTGCAGATTCAATCTGGATTCGCCTGAACTTCGGGATTCAATCAACCATTCATGACAGCAGTCAGTCCTCTGCAATAGGTAGCCGGAGCAGCACCCGGAAATGACGGCTATGTGAGTGAACGCTATGCCGGATGGCCGCGTGAAACTGGACGTCGCGCCTTGATACGACGCTATGGAGCAAAAAAACTCACAGCACACCTAAGAACCCCATTACGTCATATCCTCCGAAACCCACGTGGCTGATCTCAGAAATCGCATATTTCGCGAGGCGTGAAACACTGGTCTGCATCTCTCCTAACCCAAGCTCAATTCTTTCAGCTCAATCTGCTACAAACGGCTATTAGCTGCAAGCCTGATTCGTTCCCTTCAATTCGCATAGCTTGTCGCACCTCCGGCCGGGGCGAAAGTCGCGGAACTCCGGATCGCTTCAGACAGGGCTGCAGCCACCTCTGCCTAGCCAGGGCCGGCCCAGGAGCTTCTGGGAGTTTCCGAAAATAGGGAACCCTACTAGAGATACTAGGATCCTGAAAAATAAGGACCCCAAATAAGGTACTCCAGGAGTCGAAAACCCGCCTAAAACCCTGAGCCACGCACTCAATGGCCCCCAAGATGACATCACACTCGCTTCACTCGCAGCGCCTCGTCCCCGACCTCCGGCGACTCGGCAGCCAAACCTGGAAGATCATCACGGAGCACGTGGGCGCAGAGGCTCCTTAGAAGTTGAGCATCTAAGCCTCTAAGCAGGAGCGCTGCGATCTACGGAAGGTTGGCTGGGCGATGTCCAATCTCTTCGATGTGCATGGGTTGTGCAAGTCAAGGGTTTCGAAGCGTCAACAGTTTGTTCAGGCTTCTGCGCTAACTCCCCAAAACCATGGATTCGAGCAGGACGGTTTGAGGATGAACAGATTCAGAGAGTGTCGTTGTGGAAACGTTTCTGAACACTCGACTCCAACCTTCCAAACGGCTGTTTGAGGCACCACGATGCTTTGGCCTTCGCCGCAGCACTGCTCAGAAACGCGAGGAGGACGGCCAAAGGACCAATCCTCACATCACAAACCATTCCCCTCCGGCAAGCCTTGGTTTCCTATTTGCATAGGGAGGATTTAGGGCTTCAGCTCGCAACCTAGCACAGGAAGGCCCTGCGCGCCTGATCTCCTTTCAACCTCCCACAAAGCTGAGCCCGGCTTTCAAACCGATCCAGAAACTGCTCATCGTAACAGTGTCTCTGCCCTTGAGATTATGCCTGGCTCCCGACCCACAGACTTTTCGGAAGTGAGGGGGGGCGCAACCTCCCCAATTCATGGAGGCCTCGGCCTCGTCGCAATACTGGCGTAGGGAAAACTCCAAACATGTGAGGGGCAGCAACCAACAGCGCCCTGTCATGCCGGGAAGCAAGAGAGGGCAGTCTCGAATGGAGGACGATGACACCTCTTGTGCAAGCTTGTATCTCGCCAGTGCATGTCTTGACAGAATCCTTGTGTTGCGCTGAAGGTGCTAGCAAAACTGCAGTTTTCCACTTTACTCCCTGAACAGGGCTTTGAAGACGACTGGATAAGAATTCAATCAACTACCTCCCAGCTCTTCAAAAAGAACATCCTGCAAGCCTCCTAAGGAGCCTTGCTGAAACCAAGAGCGAAGTGGCTTTTTCGACCCAGGAACGCCCAGCGGCCCAGCCTGCGCTGGCGTTCCCTGAGCAAACGGCTGCAGGCGCCTTGCTAGCCAGGTCCTTGCTCGGAAGGGGATCCAAGAATTGACTCATGGAATTGAGGGGTTCTTTCCGGCCGTAGGCTCAGGTGACAGAGCCCTTGCAAGCTCGGAGTTGGAATCGCTCCAGCGTCTCACCTGCCTTTTTGGCGAAAAAATGCACATTTCGCGCTTTTTTTTCCTTCGGCATCGACCCTCGGCCAGCCGGAGAGGAGAGAGGGGGCTGAGACAAGTGAGACAACTGAGACAAAGAGCTTTTTAAAGGCGAGGGTGTCTCAGGCGTGTCTCAGCTGTTTCACCTGCTTTTTTGGTGAAAAAACCCTCCAAAAACACGCCTGAGACACGCCTGAGACACCCTCGCCTTTAAAAAGCTCTTGGTCTTAGTTGTCTCACTTGTCTCAGGCCCTTCTCCTCCGGCTGGCCGGCTGCCTTCTTGAGGGTCCTTTATAGGGGTTCGTTCTAGGGCTCAGGGTCAGTGCGGAGTTTTATCCGGATTAATTTCTGGGGCCTGAGGTTCAGAGCCAGCAGATCTGTAGATAAAATTCCGGCCTGACCCCAATGTTCAGAGATCCGCATTCCGAGAACACATAGACAATTCCATTGACAAATCCACCGGGCTGAGGCAGATAAAACTCTGTGGAACAACCCCTCAGTACACCTCTGACAGTTTGAATTTAAAGAGTGCGGGGGGTGCTACGAGCACATGTGACGGGCTTCAACAACACGAGCTTGGCGATGGACACTTTTTTTTGGCTGCACCTCACAGGTCGTCTCACAATCTCCCCAAGTTGTCTGATTTCTCTGCCCCAGCCCTGGGTCCCGAGGATAAAACTCCGTGGCCTGACCCCAGAGTCGCGAATCGCCATAGCAAGGCAACACAGCAGGAATTCATCAGCAACCCCGTGCTTCCCCTATCCTGCCTCACAATCCCCAATCTCAGCACCCAGCCTACCCCAGCACCCCAGCCCGAGGTCCAGAGTCGCGAATCCGCCCCAGCAAGGCAACACGGCCGGCACGCCCACACTGTCCACACTCCCCAATCTCAGCACCCAGCCTACCCCCCAACACCCCAGCCCAGGGTCCCGAGGATAAAAACTCCGGGGCCTGACCCCAGAGTCGCGAATCAGGAATTCATCAGCAACGCCGTGCTTCCCCTATCCTGCCTCACAATCTCCAATCTCAGCACCCAGCCTACCCCAACACCCCAGCCCGGGGTCCCGAGGATAAAACTCCGGGGCCTGACCCCAGAGTCGCGAATCCGCCATATCTCAGCACCCAGCCTACCCCAGCATCCCAGCGAGAGGTCCACAGGATAAAACTCCGGGGCCTGACCCCAGAGTCGCGAATCCGCCCCAGCAAGGCAACACAGCAGGCATTCATCGGCACCCCCTGTGCTGGGTTAGGTGTCACGCCAACCCGGGCCACTCCCACACTGTCCACACTCCCCAATCTCAGCACCCAGCCTACCCCCCAGCATCCCAGCCCAGGGTCCCGAGGATAAAACTCCGGGGCCTGACCCCAGAGTCGCGAATCCGCCCCAGCAGGGCAACACAGCAGGAATTCATCAGCAACCGTGTGCTTCCCCAATCCTGCCTCACAATCCCCCATCTCACCACCCAGCCTACCCCAGCATCCCAGCCCGAGGCCCAGAGGATAAAACTCCGGGGGCCTGACCCCAGAGTCGCGAATCTGCATGCCGAGGGTTGGGTGCATGGTTGCTATTCTGGTTATTTTGCCCCCTTTGGGAATTGTCTGGGCCTATCTCTCAGTATTCTTAATTCTCATGGATCTCAACCCAAACGGCACAAGATAAAACTTAAGGGCCTTGACCGCAGAGGCACGAAACCGCATGCTAAGGTGAGATCGCAAGGATTTTATCCCGCCTCGCTTCTTTGTCTATTCTTATTCTTCTTACTCATGGATCTCCGCACAGAATGCACAAGATAAAACTCCACAAGGCTTGACCGCGGAGTTGTGAATCCGCAGGCTAAGGTCAGACAACAAGGTTTTTATCTGGCCTGGTTTCTATGGTTAGGCATCGCGACTCCAATCTATGTATATTTAAACTATCTGAACCCTTCGGACTCATGTATCTCATGTGTGTCCCTCGTGTCCCTCGGTAAATCTGCAAATCGCACATATCGCACACAGGAGAACCATGAGAGCATGCTGAGCCATCCCACGGTGTGTCGGGATCATTTCGCAATTCCAGAAGCTCTCCATCCAAGCCAACCTACACCACCCTGTCCCGGATAAAACTCCAGGGCCTGACCCTTCGAAACAGCTACTGGGATAGAAAAACAAACCGTAGGGCCCAAGCCTTCGACATGAACCCAGGCGACCCCCGATAAAAATAAAGTTTGCGGCTTGACCCCCGGAATTTCATCCAGGCAGAAGCAGCCCCTATGCGAAAAAAACCCTCCAAAGCACGCCTGAGACACCTGAGACACGCCTGACTCACTTGTCTCAGCCCCCTCTTTCTTTCCGGCTGGGCCAGCCAGTGCGTTCAACGGGCCAGCATTTTTTCCGCGGGCCGGCATGTCGTGGATGCAACAGCGCGAAGCGATACGCCGAGCAGCCGACGCGGGGGCCAGACCACGGGTCTCCGCGCAAGGCTCGCAAATTCTACCGCTCCGAAACCATCGAGTCCGCTCCGTGCTCCTGTCCCGCCCCAACGGGGCTCTGACACGTGCCGGCCAGTTCTACTACGGCCTGGTGGGCCGCCGCCCCCCGAACCGGCAGTTCGACGACGCCGAGCGGCCTTGCCAGGGCATCGACGTCTGCAGGTGCGGGAAGAACGGGCTCGCGAACGCACCCTTCCCTCTCCCCTTCTGCCCCTTCTGCCCCCGGCGGAGGAGGGGAAGCTCGCGGATCTGACCTACGTGGACGTGCCCTGCGACCGGCGGAAGGGGCTGGACTCCTTGCCGGAGAGAGAGGAGCACTACACGAAGCTGCGCGTCACTCTCTCACTTCTGAGAGCGGCGGCAGTCTTGGGCTGGCCGCGGAGGTTCGGCAGGCGCATCGGGCAGTGGTTGCCCTCCATTGGTGCGGTGGTGCCAGGCGCTGGCCTCTGTAAGGCACGCCGAGGCGCGCCATCCACTCTCGCAGCACCTCCGAATTTTTGGCGGATCACGCAGTCGGGCCCGCCGGACACCCGGAGGCGCAGGGCGGTCCACTCGCACAGCCCGCGCAGGGAGACCTTGGGCTAGTGGCGGAGACGGTCCGGAGGTCCTCGCTCCAGACCTCCCCCGCCCACTCTCCACTCCCCCGAACTCCGGCGTGGAGGAGTCCCTCCTCTGCTGCAGGTAGCGAGGGCGCTGCTGTCGCAGGCCGCCACGGGCGGACTGGCGTGGCCGTTCCAGCTGGTGAAGGTGTTCCTGCAGACGGAGAAGGTGCGGATCTCCGCCGGGCTGACGCCCCGCTGCTGCCACACGGGGCACGCAGAGCATGTCGGCTCGCTCCTCGAAGGCGCCGGGGAGGATCTGGTCGCATAGAGCTGGTAGCTCACTTCCCGGAGGCCCCCGAAAGGCTCGATTGTCGATGACCTGCATGGAGGAGGAGCTGTAGCCCGTCGTGTCTGTCGTATGCCTTCCGGGCGTTGCGGCCCCTTCTGCGAGTCCCCCGCATGACGACGGGCCAGCCACTCGGTGTACTTGTCCTTGAAAAAGCTTTTGCCCAGGTCACGTGGTATTGGTTGTGGGGCTGCAGGGTCCGGACCAGCTTCCGCACGCCCCCTCTGAGCAAAATGTAATCGGAGGGGCCTTCTCGGATGAGGGGCTGGGTCAACTGGGATCACATCTTCGTGACGGAGCTGCTCTCCAACAGCAGCTACCGGCCCGTGCACGACTACTTCATGGAGGCGGAGTACTCGGCGGTGGCCAGGATCCGACAGGCCCTCGCCAACGTGCCCAAGAGGTACCTGAAGTGCCTGAAGACCGACTGCCTGGTCGTGCAGGACGTGCCCAAGAAGCACCGCCCGGCCGTGGACCGGCTGCTGCGGATGGTGCACCGGGACGGCACGCAGGTCCACAGGTACGAGGAAGTCTCGGGCCTGCGGGGCCAGTACCGGGACCCGAGCATGGAGGCCGACCCGGTGTGAAGTCGCAGCGAAAGTGGAAAGCAGTAGAAGAAAGTCTCCTCTTGACCGGCTTCCCGCGAACAGGCAAGACCTATCTCGCCCGGCAGATCGTGGAGGCCGTCAGGGAGCACGGGGACACGGTGCACATCATCACGAAGACCCACGCGGCCGTGCAGAACGTGGGGCTGGGGGCGCCGATGGCGGACCACTGGGTGCGGCGGAACGTGCGCGACGGGCACTGCAGCGCCAAGGTGGTCGAGGATCTGACCCAGCAGGACACGCCCCTGTGGGCCGACATCGCCTGCAACCCGAGGGTCCGCTTCCTGCTCTTGGGGGACTTCCGGCAGCTCAGCGCTGTCTGCGATAGCTTCGCGGGCGCGGAGGTCTGCAAGGAGCTGAAGGACGCCCAGCTCCTGCACGACTTGGCCGGGGGCTGGCGCCACGAGCTGTCGGAGCGGTGGCGCTTCGACGAGCAGATCTTCTCGTTCCTGACCTGGCGGTGCGCACGGCCCGGGAGCGCTTCCCCCGGCGAGGGGAGCCGGACGTGAGCCTCGTCATCTCGCACGCCAATGGATCAACGCGCAGGAGAATCGGCGCCTCGCTCCGCCGGGAGCGCAGCTCATCGAGAACGAGGCCCGGGGAGCCACGCCCACCAACGCCCCCCAGACCATGACAGTCTGGCCGGGGCTGCAGCTGGTGGGGGCTGGCGGGAAGCTGCAGAAGGGCGTCTTCGTGACGGTGCGGATGGGGGAAGCCATCGAGCTGGAGAGCGGCCAAAGCTTTTCGCCGGCGGAGCTGCTGAAGCACACGCGGCTCTGCAGCGCCATCACTTACGCTTCCGTGCAGGGCCTGACCCTCATGTGGCTCTGCTACGGAGACGTAGCACCCCCCTCCGGAAATACTCGAGCATGTGCGAAAAACTAGCGCGTGCTTGTCTGAAATTCCAGGGCATTCGAGCTGTCGAAAAGAAAGGGTTACGGATTCGTAACAGGGGTGTTACAATAGCAACTGGCGGGGGTGTGAGTTGAAGCGGCAATCCTGTGCCGGACAAAGGATTGAATCCTGTGATTTGCACAGGATTGCCGCTTTGAATCCTGTGTCCGGCACAGGATTGCCGGGCGGGCCAAATGCGGGCCTACGTTGACAATGTAGGTCGGACCGATGTTGAACCGGTGTTGAAAAAACCGCCAACTGCGGGCCAAACGCGGACAGAAGGAGCTCATGGAGTGAGCGGCTCGGTTCGCACCTCACAAAGAAGAAGAAGCGAGGTCGGAATTCCGACTTCGCTTTCCGAGGTCTTGTCTTCCAAATCCGAAACTGCAAAAAAAAGCAAGGTTCCGCCTCCAGACGCCCCTTTTGTGATGTACTTCGTCCGATCAGACTACGGCTGATGCGCTTTTTCTTTGGCCAATCCTCTGCTGGCCGCAGGATTGAATCCTGTGCAAATCACAGGATTGCCGGGCGGGCCAAATGCGGGCCGAATGCCGGCCGAGTGCGGGCCGAATGCGGGTGCAAGGAGCTCACGGAATGAGCGGCTTGTATCGATCGGAGAGCGTCAGAAAAGCGAGGTCGGAATTCCGACCTCGCTCTCCGACCTCGGTTCACGATTCGTCTCGACCACACACACGCCCCGGGCGGTAAAGGACGAAGTCCTGTGAGGTTGTTCAGGCTTCGTCGGATCTGACGGAGTTTGAACAAGGCCCGACGTTGATCATTTTCGCTCTCTCTAGGGGAGTAGAACCCAAACCCCACCACGTAGCAGCTACAACCTGCAATCCCAGACAACTGGCAGAATTCGATGCATTTGGAGCGCGCAGATTCGCGGCCGCCCGGGGCCCACGAAGCACAATCGGAGGGGCTCCGAAGTGCTTGCATTTCCGGTCATACGCGGGCCGCAAGCGGTCTATTCCATCGCACCCGCCGCAGAGAGGCGCGGAGTGGACCGGAGTCGACTCCTGCGGACCTCGAGTGGACGCAGAGTGGACTCAGAGTTTCGGAGCGGCCCGGGAATTGTGTCCTTCCGTGACAGAATCGGGCTCTGCGGCTCGGAGCGTGGACTCTGCGGCACGGGGGGCTCGAATCTTCGAGTGGACTCGAGTGGACGCAGAGTGGACTCCGCGGCACTCTGCTGCGGGGTTTTCGGATTTGTCGGTCACACCAAACTTAGCCCCTCGAGCCCAGACGTTCCTTGCGTTCAAACCTCCGCGTCAATTCTTGCTGCATGACAGCTCAACACCGCTCAGCATGCGTAAATCGAAGCCTCCTGCAGCCAAACCCTATCTGCTTCAGTGTCAGGGGTTGATGGGCTGGCTCGAACCGAGCCTGATGCAACACAAGCAAGCAGCACCACTCCATCCACAACAACAGCTCCATCCACAGTATCGCAGAGCACCGCCAGGCGAGTTATTAGCAAACCTTCTTGCACATGAGATGCGCTCAGGCACTCTAAATTTCTGAAACGGCTCTATGGGAAGCATTTCGACTTCCGTGTTGCCGAGGTGCATCGTCGAAAGAATAGGTCGGATTCCATCGTCCCACAGCCGGCCGTGCAAAGGCCCGATGGGAAGCATCCTCCAAACCCCAGCGAGCCGCCAGAGTGCGAGTCGCGCTTTATGGGATCTGTTTCTGAAGTTCAAAGCTTTCACCAGCAAGTTACGACAAGCCCGGGGCTAGAGAGATTCAGCGAGAAGTGTGGTCTAAATCCAAACGCGGTCTCCTGGCAGAGTTCTCCTCAGATGCGTTGGAGCTTTGAGCTTTCAGTTAATGATTAAGCCCTTTCCTTGGCCTCACTCAGGCCAATGCATGCACAAGGAGCTAGAAGTGCTCTCTCGAGCGCTGCGCCCAACCCTGAAACAACGAGGTGGGTTTATGAATTTCGCCCTCTCTAGGCTTGGCTTCTCGAAATTTGCACAGCAATCCTCCCGAGCATGGTCAAAGACAAAGTATCACATGGCAACAACGGGGACCTCACTGAAGAACAAGCCCCGAAACCTTCGGAGCCAGGCCACGGAGGAAAGCCCGAGCCACGAAACGGTGACCGGGCCACCAAAAGTGCCTTTTGTCGGCAGGCCGAAGTTTGTGTCAAGTCTGGTGATCAGGCTTGATGAGAAGGCTTCAGGCGCTCTTGAGGCTCTTGTGCTGGCCAGGATGCACGCAAAACCCAGGGGGCTGATTCGTGTTGCCTTGGCGAGCAACTGACATCATGCTTCAAGGCCGTGGCTGTAAACACGACATGTTCGGTGTGTCTGTACTCGGTTCCCTGATGCCGAGGGTCCCTCGGTCCTCGGTGCCTTCACCAGATGCTAGAACCAAAGACGAGAAGAACTCTGGAGTGTCTCCGCCCTGTGGACCTCCACTAAACTCAAAGAAACCAACAAAAACAATGCGCCACACTGCCTCCCGCAGCAGCCGCCGACGCAGCAGAGGTGCCTCAAGCCTGGGCTGACCGCACTAACCCATGGTACTCGAGAAGCAACTCACTTCCTGACCGAAGCTCACACAAGACCTTCCAAACCAAGCTTCCAGCCAACGCATCATTCTCAAGCGCATCTGAGGAGCAGAGCAGCGTGCGGCGCACCTACCTCAGCCATTCGTCTAGAGAGCAAGTCGTGTTCACATCGAACTAATTGCAGGGGCAGCAACATCACGCTCTAACGGTCTAACGAACCTAGTCCAAAGTCCTCGTGCAACACCTATGCTTTCAAACTGGGCCATAGATTGTACGAGGGCGAATCTGTAGCAAATCATCCAACCCAAGGTTAGCGATACGAAGCGTTCAAAATCACGGGTGTACAACTTGTCCAACGAAGCTTCAACGCATCCAAACCCAGGCACAGTAGGCATCCAACTATGCAAAGACTCTCACAACCTGGGAGCAAGGGCTTTCATGTGCAGCACGAGTGAAATCTGCCCAGAAGGTCCAACCAAGGAGCGAGGCCAAGGGAAAGGGAACCCTAAGAAGTCAACAGCAAGGGAACACAGAGAGTGGATTTAGGCGAGCAGTAGCAACTGGCTCACATGAACACAGGCTGCGAAACATCCAACATAAGGGACTCCGAGAGGTATAAAGAACCTTCAGCCCTGAAACAGCTCAAGCTATCCATGGGGAAGCTCTCAACCCTGAACTATCGATATCTCTGAACACCATGTCGAAAAGTTTGAGACAAGCGGCAACCTCCGAAGACAGGCCCACTGTGACCGTCGCCAGCGATTCCAAGCCGAGTAGCTGGTCCTTTGATCATTCGGGTGAAATCATCCTCAAACGCCTCCTGCAACCGCCTGTGGCCGCAGGAATCAATCGGACCGTGTTCCCGCATTCCGCACGCAAGGGCTTTCGTGAACTATCATAAAATACAACACTTCCAGTGGCGCGAACAAGACTTCTGGCTGGTTACACACTTGCGCAGCTGCACCAGAGCTTTGTCCAAGAAGCCAAGCGCTTGCTAAGTCCATCCGGTTGTAGCTTGGGGTTCAGGCATGTCGTTCGAAGTTCGCTCCTAGTATGTGAACAGTGGCCTCAAGAACCTGACGAGGTATCATCCACATATTGTTGACATCATGCTACGAAATCGCCGAGACGACAGCCTAATCTTACACATTCATTGAGGTGTCTTGTTTGATGATCCACCATGTGCAGCCGTGCCACATCTCCTCGGTCGGGTTGCGCTAAGCAAGTCTTCTGGTAAATTCGACTTCCTGAACGGAAGCAAGGTCACACTGTGGAGTTTCTAGGTCGCCATTGCAACAGAACTGTCAGGCTTTGCAAAGGCAATCCAGGTTACTCGACAGCCTCTGTCTGCAATTTGGATGCTTTTGAGCATCAAGACTCGTTCTTCGTAGCTTTTCAATGCATGGGCCTGAAATCTGATGTGGTCATGACAAGCCTGAACCCGTTGAAACCTGGACCAGGAATCCCTATCCTGCCCTTTACCTGAACTCCGAAGTCCAAATGCTGAGCCCACTCTCTGGATTTGGTTCAGCGGCCCATCGTCCCAGCCATGCAAACTTCCTTCGCCAGCCTCAGATCTTGCTTGTAGGCTGTAGTCTGTAGTCGTTTTCACGGCTGTTAAATGAGACGACGCGCTCCTCTATCATTAAAGCAGGCTGGTACTGGCGAAAGCAGGGACAGAAGGCTAGATGGGGGGGCCTGGGATGAGGCTAAATGTTGAGCTTGACTTGAGCTAAAGATGCGAAACCTGCTAACTGAGCCACGCCCGAGCAGAACCTCCCCGCAACAACATCCTCAACCCAACCTAGACCTCAAAGCAACCCTCAAGCAACAGTCTGAAGCCGGGGTGTGACAAAAAAAGTCTCGTCAAGCTGCGTGAAGTTGAACTGACGTAGCGGAACTGCATCAGCAGACCACCGACGGAAGAGCGTCTGCAAGAACGAATGGACATTAGAGCTCCGGGAGCTTGAGATCGGAAGCGTGTCAAAACGAGGAACCCTGCACGGCACAGACATGTTGCTCATAAGGCTCAAGAGACACAAACCTTCAGCAATCACGTTTCAACCAAGCACAAGCACAGAAGAAATTGTCGAGTTATGGATGTCGCTCACGGTCCCCAGCCGCAGCCACTTGCTGAGCTTTCTTCTTTCACTGAGGTACAAAGCTCCGTGTCGTGTGAGCCATGGCTGGGGAGCTAAACTGCATTCAACCTGCTGGAGAACGCCTTCACTGCTGAGATATTCGCATTTGGGTTTATTCTCCAAAAGCGTGGTATCACTACGGAGTTCTGCCGCTTAGGGTCGACTCCCGCAACCTCTTCTCGCCACAGTCCCGTGGGTTTCTGCCCCCGTTCCACAGTGCGGTGCACGTTGTGGCTGTGATTCGGGTTGCTGCCTGCGAACATCGTGCTCCCGCCACAACGCCGGAACTTTCAATTTCGAGTGCTCAAAGCCCACAGAAACAGTAACAGGAACCACCACCCGAATCGAAGCACCAACACGGTGAATCTGAGAGAAGCGCTCGGTTGAGGGATTCGGGGATTGCGTGCAGTTTAGCTTGGTATTGAGATCCTTTGCCTTTATTAGCTGCGGACCTGAGGGCTGAGCAGCAGGGATGAAAGTGTAGCTTGCGAGAAGGTTGAGGGTGGGGTGGGTGGTGGGTGGGTGGGTGGTTGAGACCACCAGGAAAACCTGGTTCCGCCCACACTCTTCCCCCCACGCATCTCAAGGCAGCTCCGTAAACGTCATGGCTGCCCTCCGCGAAGGGTTCAAGAGGGGGTAATAATGCAGCCAAGGTGCCAAACACGGGAGAGGCGGGGGGCGGGAAGAAGTGGAGGAGGAGGAGGAGGAGGGGAGCGGGGTGAGAGGGGAGAGAGGCAGGAGAGAGGCAGGAGAGAGGGAAGAGAAGGGAGAGAGAGGACAGAGAGGAGAGAGGGAACAGACCGGAGAGAGGGGCGAGAGGGCAGAGAGGGGGAGATAGAGGAGCGAAGGAGAGAGGAGAGAGAGAGAGAGAGAGAGAGAAAGAGAATCAAAGAGACAGGGAGAGAGAGAGAGGGAGAGAGAGAGAGGAGAGAGAGAGAGAGAGAGAGAGAGAGAGAGGGAGAGAGGAGAGAGGGAGAGAGAGAGGGAGAGGGAGAGAGAGAGGGAGAGGAGAGCGAGAGGGAGGGAGGGAGGGAGGAGGGAGGGAGCGAGGGAGAGAGAGAGGGAGCAGAGAGCGAGGGAGGGAGGGAGGGAGAGGGAGGGAGGAGGGAGAGCGAGGGAGAGGGAGGGAGGAGGGAGAGGAGAGGAGAGAGGGAGAGGGAGAGAGGGAGGGGAGAGAGGGAAGAGGGGAGAGGAGGGAGAGAGGAGAGAGGGAGAGAGGGAGAGAGGGAGAGAGGGAGAGAGGGAGAGAGGGAGAAAGGGAGAGAGGGAGAGAGGGAGAGAGGGAGAGAGGGAAGACACCTATGGCCAAGAGCCACGCCGAGGACAAAGGAGGACAGCACGACAGGCGCATATCGCGAGGAGGCGCGGCCCGGAGAAGCAGCGAGAGACAAGAGTAATGGCCAAAGGCCATGCCGAGGACAAGGGAGGAATGCAGCAGGACTGGCCAATAGCGCATAATGCGCATAAACTCGCAACCCGAAGAAGGAGAAGAGAGTTACAAGATTGCCAAGGACCAATGAGGAACGCAGCAAGACAGGCCAATAGCGCACAGAGGCGCGGCCCGAACAGGCAACGAGAGATAAGAGAAAAGGCCAAAAGCCACGCCGAGGACAAAGCAAGAATGCCGCAGGACTGGCCAAAAATAAAGGCACGGTCCGAGGAAGGACAAGACACCTATGGCCAAGAGCCACGCCGAGGACAAAGGAGGACAGCACGACAGGCGCATATCACGAGGAGGCGCGGCCCGGAGAAGCAGCGAGAGACAAGAGTAATGGTCAAAGGCCATGCCGAGGACAAGGGGGCCAAGCACAGCACAAACACGCCAGCACAGGCCAACAGCGCACAAGGCGCGGCCTAAAGGAGGGCAAGTATAGGAGGTAGACAGCCAAAACCCACTGCCGTTGCAAAAACAACCAACCGACAGAAAGACATGAACAAAGAAAGCAGAGAACAAGGGCGGGAGTGGCTCAATGGGACGAGCCACCGTCGCCCATCGCTTCTCAGAGGAGTTGAACACAGAAGAGAGTGAGGCAAGGACACAACGGATGAGAAACCGCGGGAAGACTGGGCCCGAAGGACGCGACACCAGAGCGCAGTCGACAGGGAGGGAACAGCGGAGAGAACAAAGGGGTGGGCCGGCTGCGATAACAACGAGCCAAGATTGCCCATCACCCTGCTGTGCACTAGGAAGAAGATGTGCACAAGGAGGAGTCACGCGACGGAGGGGCCACCCAGAGGGGAGAGGGAGGAGGTGAGGAGGCAACACAGGCAACTGGAGTGGTTGGCAAGAAGCCAAGCCACGGGCGCTCAACAGGCGCTCAGGAAGGTAGAAGGCATCGAAAGGAGAAGGACGTGAAGGGAGAGCGGCATAGTGGGGGGGGAGAGGAGACAACCGGAGCTGCGAAGCAACAACCAACAGCAAACGCGAGTGGCAGCAAGATAGCCGGGACCAAGCACAAAACTGCCCGAGGCAGGAGGACAAAGAAGAGGTGGGGAGGCGAGGCATCCAAGCAGGAAGGAAAGGTGAAAGGAAGAAAAGGAGGGAGATGGCACTGTCACCCCATGGAGGGGGCGTGGTGGCAGGAAGGTGGGTGCTCCTCGACGGGGAGATACCCGTCTTAGTGCCGCCCCTGGGGTCCCACCAACCTGAGAAGGCCACCAAGCCCCGATGCTCCGTTGGGCCCAGGGGGAGAAGGTTGAGGCTTCCGGGTTTCAGGGTTTCAGCACGTGGGTTGTTTGGATTCCGGAGTGTTGGTGTCGGCTGAAGATGTTAGGGCTGGAGGTGGATGCTGGAGTCGTAGGTCTGACAGCCGCCAAGACAAGAGGTCATCTTGAAGGTCCTGGTGGTCCTCGTGGTTCTGGTCGTCTTGGTTGTGTAAGTCGTCGTGTTGGTCGCTGTCGGGCTGGTCGGGGTGGTCGGGGTCGTAGTTGTGGTTGTGGTGGTCGTCGCGGATGAGTCTTTGGGGATCTACGCTGGCATCATGAACTTTGGAATTCGCCGATTGCCCAACCCCTTCATGAAACTAGCAACGATTTAAAATTAGGAAACCGCTCCCACCAAAACCACTGCCCATTGACTTCTGTCAGAGGCCCAGCAGCCAAGTCTGTTAAACCACGCAGCTGTATCTGGCCCTACAGAAGCCAAAAAGAAAAGAAGCAAAACAGAAAGAACTAATCTGAACCCCAGCTTGAAGCAATCGTACAATCTGAACCCAAGCGCAACGGCACTCATGAGGCCAAGCCGCCAGCACCTCACTCTGCGACACATATGCGGCAAGCGCTGCACTGCGCGGCCCAGGTGGCTCGGAGTCCATGATCCGTGGCTGGAAAACCTGCGCTCTGGCTCTTCTTGCGTTCGGGCACTGAAACCTCCAAGACAACAGTGGCGATGAGGAAGGAAGGAGCCGAGGACAAGGACAACGAGGAGTGAATCATAAGGCCAAGGGAGGAGCCCTCTGCAAGCTAGTGGAACTCCAAAAAATCAGCACCCCAAGGCACCCACAGAGGGACCGGGCCCGTCCCGCGTGCACGCAAGGCAAAAAGCAGCTCAGAGTGTTGCGGGTGACCATACCTCGGAGTCCAGCGCTCTGGGGCTGTACGACATGACCGCTAGAGGTTTGGGACGTCGGAAGCTGCATGGAGTCTGAGACCCCTCAAAAACCGTACATCGGAGGCAGAGCCGTTGATGGTTTGACCGATCGTGTATGGTTACAAAGTTCTTGCAGAACAGCAACACACCGCCTCTCCCGAGCCGCACTTAAGCTTGCAACTATCCTTGGACTGGCCAGAAAATTGCAAGTGCTGAGGAACACCTGCGTCTGCATCAGTGCGATGCCTCCTGCTACTGCTCAGCCTGGACATCGTCCGATGATGTCCAGTTCAGACAGTTAGGATAAGCTAGACTTAATGCGGACATCTGCTTAGGTGTTTTTTTTCAGCGACCCAAATGGGACACAGGCAACAAGCCTTCCTATCCGTTGCTTGCCACGCTGCTCTCCAAGCGGGCCGTGTGTCACCAGGCGCGACCAGTACCGATCGAGAATGTACTTCAGGTCATGGTAGAAGGCTCAGCTTCGCGGAGAGTTCAGGGACGCTTTCGGGCTGAATGGCGTCTGTGAGGATAGGCCGTCATGGAAACGATGCTTTTGGCTGGCCTTTGATGATTCCTACATTCCGGGTTGGATAACAAGTACCAACACTCCCGGCGTCCCGGTAGAGGATGTCCCCTACAGAAACTCACCGGACTCTCGAAATACAACCCCGCCTCCCAACCCATCTACTTTTACAAAAGCGTGGAGGGTTCCAGGGCTGTCGGCATGCAAGCAGACATGTAGTCAAGGCACATATCATGTCAGAACAGCATCAAGAGCTTCAAGCCCGACAGAATGGACAAGTGCTTGTTACGATAACGAAGAAGTACCCTTGAACCCAACACCTCCGTCCACCACTTCAAACCATGGAAATTTGGGTTTGATCACGGTTGACCTGAACCCTTTACAACTGTTGAAGATGTCTGTGCGTCTGTGCTTCTGGATGTGGAAAACACGTGTCATCCGTGCTTTCGAAGCCTCGCATATGCTGCAAGCTCCCCATGCTGCCCAATACTACAGATTGCTGCGCTTCTGTGCTGCATATCTGTGTCTGCGACTCTTGCAGATGCGGCAAACCTGTAGTACGTCTAGGCTTGACAAAACCTGACAGTTCTGTGGTCATGACGGCATGACGGAGAAACGTGGGGCGGAAGAAGACTACGGGACCTTGGGAACCTGACAGTGGACGGCAGACCGAGGAACCGGAAGAGGATTGGAGGCACGCAGCCTGCTTGACCAAGAACGCCGACGCCCCGCTACATGTGGGCAAGGAATCCCCGCCACGCAAAGAAACAAAAGCACAGGACCAGCAGCGCCGGATGTGTCGAGGCCCAAGAAAAGAACCAACAAGGCGACAGCCCCCAACATACAACTCCAGACAAGCGACCGAATCACACACGACATTCAAGACTAAACTTTGAACGCCCTGGGCCCTGGATATATTGCAAGGATCCAAAACTCCCGGGTCGCATGCCCAATCTGGAAAAGAAACGGTGATAACCAAGGTTCCAGGATGCAGCGGAGTGCACTTCGAGCACTCCGGGAACCCGAGGAGGCCTGCACGTCAACGAGCAACAGGCAATGAATGGCTTTCCAAGCTGTCGATCGTTCACACAGTCGGGAAGTCAGGCCGCTCAAGACCTTGACTTGGGCTGCCAAGAGGCGGACTTCTTCCACCTCAGGCAGAGGCAAACGAACAGCAGCGTCGAGCTCACACCTGGGCCCCGAATTCCCTGAGCCCTGCAGCTACAAGCCCACTACCGTGGCAGGTGAGTCCATGTGCTGCACATTGCCTCTCTCATTACCATCAACAGCCTAATCCAACCCTCATGTGCTAGTCCAGTATCGACAACCCTGAAGCGTCTTCATGAAACTGCCAAAACAAACTGAACCAAATCCTTGAGGATCCTTGTGGCCATGGGCGCTACCCCAGTTGACCGCATTGGGTGGTTCCCATGGCGCAACATGGGCCTAGGGGGGGAACCGGGGGAACGAGGGGGGTACTGACCTCAGAGTCTCTGATGAGGAGTTGCGTTCTCGATTTCAACAGCGGGCCGTTGACGTGGAGCGGCAGTATTCGCAAAACTGTTAGTGGGCATGACGTGTTTGCTTCCGCCCTGACTGCACGGATGCCTTCAAGTTGGACCGCCTTCAGAACTAAGCCGACAGTTTTCACTGATCAAGGGCTCCACCACCGAACACATTTCACCCTAACCGTTCGGACCTTGTACCCTAACTTCTCCACCAAACGCACAGTCCACAAGGAAGCTCCGCCCCACAAGCTCCTGACCGATTCAGGGCTTTTGGCTGAATCGACTTAGCTAGAATAACTCCGAAGATACTGGACAGCTGGATGCTCGGCGAGTTTTACCTTAACCAACACCGGCTTTTGCAGGCACAAGTTGTTAGGGCCGGTGCTTGTGGAAACTCTGCCAGCGCTTGTAACAGCTCGTTCTCTCTGTCGTCATAGCCCTGTGCGCAATGCTGTTTGAACAGGTGGAACTGGATTTAATCAATGAGCCCAAGTGCAACAAAATTGAAACCTTCTTGTCAAAACCTACGAGGCTCCGACATTCTGAGACCCTCAGACGGACAAGCCGTCTAGAAATCAAGAAGCAGGTCGTAGGAAAATTGTTAGTGGTCGTGTGCTTCCCTGGTGTCAGTGCAGTGGGATTCTGACGTAGTAGGCATGAACGAATTGGAGTCGCGCTCCACTGTCCATCGATAAAACCTTTGAGCGCACGCTCTGCCAACCGATATCAAACCATGGCCGGGGTGCAAGTAAAAAGCATATTTGTCTCCATAATGCCTCACCAACACTTTGTCGGAATCCAGAAACATACCCGCTTGAAAGATTGCTGCATGCTGTTTAAGTCCTGCCAAACAGCATATTCCCTTGAGCGGGTCTCTCCAAGGGACAAACTGGTAAATGCCGACGCTGTGTCCCTCAACCCGTGAATGTAAGAAGCGAGCCTGGGACGTATCCCCAACCCTTTAGTTCGAAGCCTGGAAACCCAGGCAGGCGTGTGGAGTTTGGATTCATTTGTTCTGGGCCAGGGTTTAGAATAGGATGTATTCCAGCCGGGAATGCAATCACCACATAGACTCAGACGCACCCAGGCATCCAGCTCGAGATGGTAGCCCGCAGCCGCACGACACAGCGACTGTGCCACAACAGACGGCGACCACGGGCCCGGCCGTGAGGCAAGACATCATCTGAACGAGCAGATGCTGCTCATCGGCTTGTGCACGACGCGTGTGGTCGACAATGATCAACGAGCGTGAATGCTTCTCACGGGCTCAAGCTGACCTCTAGCCTTGTCGCAGATGTGGCGTCGTTTGCTGGGGAGTGACTGCTGGCTGGCTTGTGACAACAACCCTTTGGTCTGCGGGTGGCTCTGGGTGTTGGATGACAGATAAGATCTCATCCCACCTCATCGTGTTCTTTGTTTATGCGTGTCGCGACGACGTGCTTCACGACAGTTCACCACTCACGGAATCCTCACAGCTCCGTGACTTCTGTGAGCGCGTGATTCTTGGATCGTTCAGAGTTGATGCAGAGTCTAAGGCCAGGTTAGGGTTTGGGGATCAGGAAGGGTGTGCTCGGCAGACGTCACATCTTGGCAATAAATCTTCAATCACACTCACTTCACTCAGAGAGCTGACCAAGTCCCTGCATTGAACTCAACTCTTGCCGAGTCCGTCGAGCTGGCCCTGGATTTTGGCCGACGGGCCTCTGTCGGCATCGTGACAACGACCACCTCGCCCAAACAGACAGACTCTCAGGCTGAAGGCTTACCTTCCCCCACGAGAACGTTTTGGCTCTGGTTTCGGAGGAGCAGTGCACAAAGTAGAATCTGCATGCGCTGGTTTATGCTGATCAGATGTAAGCCCTTGGTTTCTGCACCTCGGCTCCCCCATTAACTGAAAGAGCGATGGCGCTCGACTCCGAAGCAAAGGTCAAGAGCCAGACCACGAATTGTGCGGAATTGCGCGCAATCGGGAATTCAAGTGAAGTCTGAACTGGTAGACAGTTCTTTCATCATTGCGGCGATGTTCAACTACAAATCTGACACACAATCCGCAGCAAAGCATATAGATGTACTTGGGGAAGCCTACAGAACTCTTGTCTCACGAATTACCTGACGAGGTACTCGGTCTTATGTGCCTCCGAGCTACCATCCACGAGGGGCCTTCCGAAAGCAGCGCGCTTCCAAAAAGCACCTGGGTGCACCAGACCGACAGACGGTGTAATAGTGTAACCGCTTCTGTTCGGAAAATGCTTCGGGCTTAGGGTTGATGTGGATTGATGGTGAAAAAAATTTCATGCCATGAACGTCTTTTAAGTTCAAAGACAAAAGCCCCAAAGCCGACCATCTGAATAAACAGCTTGCGGAGTGTTTAGGGGCTCGGCTCATGCTGAGGCTCACCGCAGCAATACCTCGGGGCCCCTGACCCTTCCAGGCTAACACTGAGCTTTTCCCTCTGCCCCCTGCAAAGACTCCCCGTAGAGTCAACGCGGATCTTAAACTCGCAGGCGGGGCGCCTCATCATCGGCGTGCGCAACGACCATCAGCTGCTGGGGGCCTTTTCCAAGTCTTAAGGCTGAGCAAGTCGTGCCCTTCGTCCGATGTCGGACGAGACTTTTTGCTTCCTCTGCTTCAGCTTGCTTCTTCCCCATACGTTGCTTTGTTGCCTATGCACCAACCCCTTTCTCGCACTGCTTGTTGCTACCTCTCTCTCCGTCTCACTCTCCCTCGGCCTCGCCCACCATCGCAGTCTCCTGCTCCCCCTCCTCCCTCCCATCCCTTGCTCGCACCCTAGCCGTAACTCTTTTCACACGGCCGGCTGGGAGCTTACGGGCGCTCTCACAGTGTGGGAAGCATGAACAACATGCCCCTCCTGCCTGTCGTCGTCTGTTGCAGGACATGCTTTCGTGGGAACGTTGGCAGCCTGCGAAGCAGGGCCCGTGAGCATGTTGGGCGGATTTGGAGATCATGACTGTGGACAGCATATACCCTGTGCAACAGCTCGACCTGTCTGAATGTAAAAGATGGCAAGATGCAAGCACAAGCTCAAGAGCTTTGAGCCTGCTGACTTAAGCTTCAATCTTCAACACGAAAAATCCAAGATCCCGCAAGAACGAGGTTTCGCCCTTCCTGCACAACTCGAGGGCTTCTATAGCCGTCTATCCATGCACCCAAAATAGAGCAGACACCCTGCTCATGCGGCAATTCCTGCACATGAAAGCCTTTCACTCCACCTAAACCCTCGATTTCCAAACCCTAATTCCGGCAGCACTCAAAGTACGATACTCTCATGTCAATGTTGGCTGACCTCAACTGAGGCTGCCCTTCCGCATCAGCCTTGGCCGCTAGTCGCAGGCAGGGCGGGAATCTTGAATTGCACAGCTTTAGCCTGAGATGTTCCAGATTCTATATTTCACCTGGGAGCAGCGTCTTGCTTACAGAGGGCCAGCAACGCGAGATTTTCGGAAGGCCCCTCGACAAGTGTGTGCTTGCTGGAACCTCGATTCAGAGCAGCCAGGGGCGAAATACTGAAGTCCTTAATCCAAATTTGATGCATCACTGTCCATACCGACAACACCCGGCCCGCAAGTCCAAGGACGCAAACCATCTGCAAAGCTCCGGAGTCGCGTTCGCAGGAATCATCTTAGGAAAGCGGCTAGCAAGCCCTCCAGAAGAGCATGTGGTGTGGCATCCGTGTCCGGCAGTGACCCAAAGGCAAACGCTCCATCCGGATACCTTGTTGCAGTCAAAGCTTTGGGATACTCGTTCCTGTGATCAAGGAGTTCCGCAGCCTTCACCTCTGCCGTCAGGGTCTCGGGAAACTTCAACAAATACTCTTGAATCGTGCTTGGTGCTTCAGGGCGAGCGGTCACACAGTGCAGTAGCGAGACCAAGACGAAACCCAGACGAAGGACCAAGGAGGTCCGAGTGAAGAAGGCACCCAAACCATTCCCTTCATGCCATCATGTAACCAAACGAAATCCTGGCACAGAAATCTGACAGCGCCCAAGCCCTTCTGCCGTAAAGCCTGCGCCTTTGGTTTCTCGAAGGTGTCGGGTCTATGATTCGACAGCCCTGACAACCCAACCTGCGAAACCCTTTGAACCTCTTGAACCCTTAGGCTCGAAGGCCTAAGCAGTACCTTCACGTCGCTGGATCCAAGAGGCCGATTGCTCGTCAAGCCAAGGTCGATGGAAACAGCGCCATGCTTTGCCAGCCTCGCTGTATTGTGGCGAGTTGGCTGGCTCACGGACTGCTTGTGAGGATGGAGTCCTGTAGGTCTATCCCACAGCCCGACACCTTGACAGGTGCGGTGACTCAACCCACATCTTCTGTACTAGCCAATAGAAAGTCGAAGGAGTGCACTTCAGCATCGCAGTACGACGTCTGGAGCCGCCTGACGATGCAGCCGTGAAGCTTCGGGAGGAAGCCACCGAGCTGTTGCCACGGATCGGTGCTGTGGCGTAGCGGGTAGAACACATCCGAATCCAGCACCTTCACCTGCTCGAGGGCTTTTTTTGTATGTTGAAGGGTGTCAATGAAGATGTAACTACTCTGCGGTTAGGCAACCCTGCTCCCGTGTCGATAACGAACGGCCTGCCGTGGGCTATACATGTTTGGGCCGCGTGGGCAGAAGCTGCAAAATCACCTCTTTGATCCTTTGCCTCTCCCTTTGTCCTACTACGCCGCTCGAGATCCTGAAACCGGCAGACTGTGAACATGTAAACCTCAAGACCTTAAAAGTAATTACCCAAATCCTCAACTCAACCGAATCTGCCCGCAGTGCACCGAACCGTCAGGGCCCGTGAGGTTCCTACGGCTGCATGTTGCTCAAGCGCTGCTTCACCACTGCCTCGGGGCTGTCCGTGAGGAAATGGCCAGCAGTCACAAGGTACCTGCCGCAAACTCGCGATAGAGAGTGGGGATTGGGGCGCTGGTGGTGCTGGCAATACTGGTCTACCGGTCCGTCGTTTGTGGTGCTGGCGGCGCGTACTGTCGCGTTCAGAAAGACTTCCTTTGAACCGACCGACATACCGAATGTTGACAAACTGTATCTCGGTTCCCTGATGACCTTTTCTTCCACCTACTGCCCGCAACATGTAGGAGCACGTCAACGCGCCGGCAGCCAGAGCATCCCATGGCCCGCGACCCCAGTCGAGTCGGCAGTGCCTTCGTCTTTGAGGGTCTGGAGCTTCGGGCTTCGCCTCAAGTTTCGCCTTCGGGGGACTGCAAGCTCCAAGGGTTTACGGCTCCAAGCCTTGGTAGCGAGGACGTGGAAGCAGGGGCTGCCGGATTCGGTTTCAGACTCCCTCGAAGCCGAGGATTCGGGACCGTTGGGATCGGATGCAGATTCGAGTCGGCGCAGCTACGAGCATACCCGCCTTATGCCTTGGCCTTGCCTCTCGAAGCAGCAGACCCTGCTATGAAGTCTTCACCACTAGGATAGCTTACAGCTGTTGGAGAACTTGGACCTTGGATTCCGAACCCTGGCAGGCCGCTGGAATCTCTGGATCTGCATCTCCAAGACTTCTTGAACCTGTCTGCAGACTAGAGAAGGATTCGACGGGCGGCTCGTGAACGAGTCACGGCTCGCGGCTTCGTCATGGGGCGGACTTGGAGCTTCGTGAGACAGTAAAGCTTCAGATCTCATGTAACCCTCCATTTCCTAAGCACGATAACATGAGGCGCTACGAAATGCTGAGACTCGCTCAGATACCTCTACAGTTGACGACGAACCTTCCCGAAGCAAAAACATCCTTCCAAGACGTGCCCATGGTCAACACGCCTCTGTCTTTCGAAAATGCCAAGAAGCTCCCGAAGCATTTCGTCCGACGTTATCCGGAACCCCTGAAAATCCTTCGAAGATTAAAACGATCCCGGAAGAGCGTGGGTCAGCGCCAGCTTCGGATTCCAGTGCTGCAGACTGCTTGCAACAGAGCAGCCACAAAACCGTGCTGAACGCTGGCCATGACTCCTGCGGCCTCGAATACAGAAAGGCTTTGCCAGGAAGGGGTCGACAGAAGGAACCATGAAATTGCAATCGCACACAAAACCGAAACTACTGCAAGCCACGCAGAGCTGGATCCCCCAAGCAAGACCTGACACGTTCTTGGAAAAGTTCTCGACAAGGTGCCACATAGAGCTTCCTGACGCGATTTTGCTGCTGAGCTGGACGATGAATGCCCGCAATGGTTGATACTGTTGTTGATTCTCGTTTGGTGGCTGAGAGTCATCTGCCCAAACAAATCCCAATTGGAGAAGAAGCCAGGTCAGTGCAAGGAGATCCAGGGCAAGTGGGCCATCCCACAATGGGCGCGGGCCGGGGCGGGGGGCCCTCAAGAGCCTGTCTGGCCTCCGTTCCTGCAACCTTACTCCTGGGAAGTGCAGCCACCGGAAGAAAGCGGACACCAGCGTCGGGCTTGGCAAAACATGCATTGGAGTTCGGGGTGCCGCTCAATGCAGGGTTTGGCGAGCTAAGATGCATCATGCACGTAGGGCGATGCATGACGAGCGGAGCTTCACAGCTACTCTTGAAGCCACCTTTCAGTCTTTCAAGGAACCCTACACGTCTTCCGTGCTAGAGCTAGGCCTCCGAGGGCGGGAGTTGGCAAACAGGATTTCAGGCTTCTCTAATGCAAGAGAGAACACAAAAAAGCCCCAACCGGAACCTGTGCAAGACGAGAACCGCTTCGGACTCAGCACCGGGCCCCTGATTTTCCCAGGCAGCCGCGAAGCTGGCGTTGGCCAACAGGACTGAGATTTTCCACAGACGACTGCTAACAGCTCATGCATGCAATCGCAAGCAAGGCAAGTAGAACAAGCGGCGTGATGGTAGGAATAGCAGCAGACATGCAGTTGCGAAAGCGCAAAATTCTTGCGACAAGATGCCGCTGCCTGAGCTCGAGAGCCGTCAGCAGAATAGGAGCACGGGCAATGAAATTGAGCAAACGCACAGAATGACATGCACAAGCGAATTCTTAACAGCGCTTAGTAGCACTGCGACACTTGTAACCGCAGGAGCGAGTTCCAAAAGAGCAAACGAACAAAGCAAGCTAGCTCGACATGTCAAATTAATCGCTATGTTCATTTCATGCTTTCGGAACCAAGAAAACTCCAGATGTTAGGACACTCTGCCGCCCATGCACCCGAAGGCCAACCCTGAAGGCCGTGAGCCAAGGCAGCCTTCAAGCCGGAAGCCACTGTCGAAACCAGAAACAGTTAGAGCTTCGTAGAGCTGAAGGTGCTTGCATACTGAAACGAGGACTCTGCGGACTAGGTCATCAACAATCGCAATCCGTGCGCCGAGGGTCTCTCGAGACTGCTTGGAGGACCCAACCTTGTTTTCAAACAAGCCAAACACAAGGTTCTACAGATTTGAAGGAGTTTCACAAGAACAAGGCTCCTGTTAATGGGCGATGAAGGCTATGGAGGATCTCTTCGGAGGTCCCACATATTCGGAGACTACCATGTGCCTGAAGGGAGCCGAAGTAAGTTCCAGCAGGATGGCCTGACCCTTCCCCTGCTCCATAATTCCTGCCAGGACAAAACAATTTTTCTCCGGCTGAGCAAAAACTCATCAAGACTGAAGTAATCGCCTCCTCCTCATCTCATTTGAATTCCAGAACATGGGATTGCATCCGTGCAACCAGAAAGAGTCTGCATCGATGTAGACTCCGCCATATGCCTCATCCGTGGCGGGTTTTCCAGCGAGGGGTTCCACCGCAACATACCCTTCCGTCTATCACTTTTGTCAGCAAAGGCAGAGGCATTGGGGAGCATCCATAGGTGCATAAGCAAATGTTGATGGTTTTGTCGCTGGCGGCGTTTAATACTCAGCGGTGCGCGGCAAAGCAATGACCCCGGAGTCCAAGCCAGGCGGCGTAGAGCAAAGCGAAGCGAATCAGGTCTGAGCGACCTGCCAAGGTCGGCTCCTGCGACAGAGCATGGGTGATTTTGAAAGCCAGGAGGTTCAGAGCTTTAGGGCTTCAGAAGGACAAGTCCCTGAACCACCCCTGGCGTGCAATCAAACGTTCTCAGGTGCTGCCCTTCATATGCGAGCTTCGGGAGCTGCAGTACTTCTGTAGACCAGCAGAGATCCTCAGGATAATGGTCATCATCATCGTCGCTATCATCATCGGCTTCTTTTTGGCCATCGTTATCATCAGCGGCATCCTCGTCGTAGAGTTGCCGCCAATCCTTGAGCAAGTCGTCCTGGAGCTCGGCCAAGGCCTGCAAGACCTGCAGAAGTTCACAATGGGCTAACGGCTTGGCGCGGCTTTGACGGTCCTCAAAGACATCCGCGCCTCTTCGTCGCTTTGCCATAGACGATGGGCCCAGCTTTCAGATGCAAAGAGGGGATAGGCCTCCCCACGGCTGTGCGACTTCAGAGCTTGAGGTTGCGGTCAAGGCCCTGAATCTAAGCCATAAAAGGGCTTCAGGCGCCAATCCTTTGGCTTGCAGGCCTAAGCAGCAAGGCATCTAGTGCATAGGCTGCCAAGCTTTCCCACCGTTTAAGCTACGAGGTTCAAGCTTATTACCCCTGGTACAAGCAGTCAGCTCAGAAGTTGTTCGGGATAAAGGGATAAACAGTTTCGGATTTCGGACTTCAAGGTTGTCGGAGCTTGACATTAACCATACCGCTCGGGTTAAAGGATAGAAGGTCCATGCTTTCGGATGTCCGCTTTCTCAAAGCTTGCGACTTTGGCTAAATCATGTTGAAGCTTTGCCGCAGAGCTTCTGCAGTGAAGGCTTTCGAGGCTTGTTTGCACCTGACCGTTCCGGATTGGCTGGTGGCATTCACAACAATGCACAGCACAAAGGTTCTCCCGGACCATGGCACGCTGGATGTAGTATCCTGGAACCGAAAATCCCCGAAGCCTTGCACGTGCAAGCAAGGTGGCGAGGTCTAGAAAAACCGCCAGGAAATGCCGCTCCGCGAGCCGTTGGCTCCCGGCGCTCCCGGAAGCCCAACTTCCAAAAGACGCGTAAGCTTCAACAGTGATGGAAAGACAAAACAAGACTAGTAAACGCGAAAGCCCCGAAAGCAAGTCTCGAACTTTCGCAACCCCAAAGGAGTCGGAGCCTGCCAGGTGCTGATCAGAAGGCTGGGGGCTTTTGGCCCGAGCCACACCTGGCTCTCTCAGGACTGCACATGCTTGAATTCCCCGATGGATGAGCACGCACTTGCTGAGTCTTCTTGAAGCCTTGCTGCTGCTGTCGTTCCATCAATTAGGCTGTGTGCGCGACTTGTTTTGGCACGAGGCTTTTCACTTGCATCCGCGACTGTTTGGTGATGTCCACGTCTGTGTGCGAGAATTCCAGTTCAGTACTGCGCCTAGGCCAAGACTCAAGGTTTCAAGGGCATGTGGCTCTAAGGCGAGTGGGATGATGAACCCAGCGTTGGGGTCAACATGGGTGTCAAAACGCCTTGGCTGTAAAGTTCTGAAGTTGATGTGTGGCTAAGCCTTGCCAAGAAACACGTTCAATCTCCCGCGGTTCCGACCCTCTTTTCAACCCCAGACGCAAGACACATCCAGCGACACAAACATCTCAAACCTTAACACAAAGGCCAGTCCCAAGAAGCAAATCAGCTTGTGGCCCAAGCACCGGCATATGAGCAGAGTAAGAGCACCAAACGCAAAAAAAACTGGGTGAAGAAGCGCAGCTACTCATGCACACCAGATCTTCATCGAAAAATCAAACACACGGTACCCAGCGACGGGAGTTTTGAGCCCAAACAGCTTGGCTTAAACCCTTCCAGAACACGCCAGGCATCCGAACTTGACATGCAAGAAACCCAGGAAATGTGGCCCTCCTTTCATGTCGGGAAGACGTCCTGACAAACACGAAAGACCCGCGCCTGGTGAATCAGTCTTGGGATCTCGCCATCGACGCTGCCGGAAGGCCCGTGTCTCACATGAGGAGGGCGATATGGTCCGCGAGGGCCGAACAGACGATACCTGGCGAGCATAGATCCATGAGGCTTAAGGGCTATCAAAGCTTTCCATCCTCGCCGGCGGAGTTACGCCATCGTGCTTATGTTAGGGACGACAAAGACCCTGAAGCCATCCACAGCAAACCCCGTACCATCCCGAGTCGTACAAAGGTTTAGCACAGCGTGCTGGCAGTCAAGGTTTTACTCGGGTTTCCAATCAACCAGGCACTTGACAGCCACAAGCCATAGGTGCCGCTTGCCATCCTAAATCATGTTTGCTGCCGAGTGGCGTCATGTTTTCAACAACCGAGGTACTTTGGGCAGAGAGCCTGCGCTTGTTCAGTGCAGGCTCCAGTGCATGAGATCCGAAGCCAAAGGCTGTGCTTGGTTCAGAGGCTAGCGCCAGCGACTCATGATCCCAGCCAGGCCGGCAAGATCCGAAAGAAGATCCAAGGGAGCAGATTCCGACGTTTGCCGAGACTTCGACACTTCGGACTACCAGTATAGCAAACGTTCATTGCCGTGTTTGAGGCTGGAACCTGTGGCTGGCAAGGCCATCGCTGTGACTGCTCTGAGCCTGTAAGGAACTTGCTTTCAAGAGTTTCAGCAGGCTCTTTCTGGAGGACCTGGCCGAAAGCAAAAGATTCAGGTGCAAAGTCACGAAACAATCGATCCAGTGCACTGTGTGGCCAAGTCCCAATAATCTGCAACAGTCGCGCTGCATCCGCTGTCGACACGGCAGCCGTTGTTGAGTCGGTTTGGTTAGCTATTCGGAGAACTGTTTGAGATACAGTCTTTAAGTGAAGGTCTTCGGCACTAGGCAGCAGTAAGACTTGGAATTGGACTTCTCGGAAAGTAAGCCTTTCCAAATTCGGCTGGCTGGGTCTTACAAGCCCTTCGGACGTTCTCCAGCTCCTATGGCGATCCGAGACAGGAGAGCCAGGACAGACACCGCGAAGTGGTGCCCGACCCACCCCAATGGTGTTACTGAACTTTGCTGATCCTCAGACCTGTGGTTTGCGAACGGAGGGTGGTTTTTCCCAGCGGTGGAGGTGCACTTCCAAAGCTTTGTGGCCGAGATGCATCACACGCTGCATGCTCACTGCCGAAGATTCCTCAGTGTGGTGTTCAGAGTGTGGCACTTTGTTGCCAGATAAACATGCAAGCTCTTTCCGTGGCCAAGGAGCCACAGCACAGTCCAGCACCATCGATCCGCCCGCGCTGGCACGCAGTCGGAGGTCCTCATGTACCGGTGTCGTTCACGCTTTATGGACGGGCCACAGTCAAGATAGACAAGGGTTGTTGATGGCCCGGTGCCAGGGCAGGTTGAGAAGTGCTCGCTTGTGCCGGCATGTCCAAGGATGGTACGGAGCTTTGACACACGATTCCCCCTGTCCCACAAACACAAGAAGAAGGACTCAAGCTCTACAGACAACATGCCAGACACTAGATTGCTGGATACTCAAGCTCCTGGCGCCAAAAACCTGTCATGGGAAAGGACTGGTTTGATCTGACTTCCACTCCCCAACAGTGAAACCTGTCTGCAGAGTGTGCCCTTACCCTCGAAACCCTGCGGTGCTCCGGTGTGAGGGAGATGCGGAGCAAAGCACTCTGCTCGGTTCCATAGACGGCGCCTTCCGAACCCGAGCAAATTGGTGTTTGACCAGGCAAACCAACGAACAATCAAACAAACGTTCGATTCACGTTTTCTAGTTGGTTAGACCAGAGGGAATTTGGGCTTTGGGCTTTGTTTGGATGATTGTCCTGGGACGTAGGCTCTCCGGAGCTTGGTGTCGCGTCTGGTGTCGGATTGAACGCCAAAGACAACTACCAAAGAGGGATCTGGTTTGTCAGAAGCATCGTCACCAATCACGTATCCTACCGAAGTCATCAAACACAATGTTGAAAGCTGAGTTCACGGAGGTCGGGCTTCGTACTTAGGAGATGTGCTGCTCCCACTCTGGGTCGCATCACACAGATCCATGCTCAAAACAGGCCGTTGCCTGGGTGGACGTGACTCACGGGATCTTGGTTAGCGCTTCAAGTTGCAAGTTGCAAGGCCTATCTTGGGCACGAGGACTCAGTTTTGACAAGGAGCCCCGACCTCAGCAGGTAGAACAATGCACCGGAAGGAAAGCTGCCCGAACCCAAACCCCGCCCAAAACTATGCAAGCGCAAGAACCACCACACATGCAGAACCTTGCAAGCCACAATCTCAACCAGACCAGCCTTCACAAACGGTGATGCCCATGGCGGGAAAAGCACCTGATCTCGTGCCATTAAACATACACCCGTCCTGGAAGCGCCAAAATCGAGTGAACTTTTGAAGTCTTGTCAATTCCAAATGCCAAGGTCTAAGGCTAACATTCTTAATTTTTCGTGAGACCAGTAACCCCACAGCCTTTCCCATACGGACTTCAACGTCATGGAACTGCAGAAAACAGGCTCATGACGAAGGTGACAGCATGAATCAACAGCACCCACAGTAGGCAGATCCTCGGCCCAGCTGGGTTATCTGTAGCTATACTTCATACTCCGGAAATGGCTAAATTAGGAAGCACCTGCCCGATTGTGGGCTTAGCGTCGTCTGCAGAAGTCGCAATCGAAAGCCGACACCCAATAAGAGCTCAATCAGAAACAATGTGTCACACGGGATGTAGAGCCCTTGGTTTGATGATAGGGCCCACTGCGCTAGGCAACCCTCGAACATCCATAGTGCCAGCCCTCTGCCAGTCTACGTCCGAAGCGATAAAGTCCAAGCATAACCTGCCAGCCTGACACTATCCATCCGACCAAAAAGCAAGTAGACGCCAAGTCCCGAACCCCTAAGCTCCAACGACCCTACAACCAAGAACGCCGCCGTCCCTGTGACAGCTCACATTAATGTCTGGACCCAGCACGCATCTCCAACTTTAGCCAGGAGCGATCACCTGCACTCGCCAAGAGACATCTCGGAGATTCCAGAGCTTCGGGAAACTTGGGGAGTGCCCTCTTCGAAGTGGCTGGCTGTAGCTGAGGGCCCGGTTTCTCGGGACCCTAGGCCTGCGTGTACACTACGCTGTCGCTGTCCGCCGTGCTATATACTTGTTGGAGACTCAGCTGCGTCACGCCATACGCCATGCGAAGCTTCTTGCTTGAAACATCGAAGGCCTGCAAAATCTGAAGTCTTCATCTTGCCGACCTTGTGCGATCTGTTCCTACGCTCGAATAGACATGCGGGCCGCGGCCGGATCCTTCCACAACTCCTAAACGGAAAGTCCCGATCCCTTCAGCTTCACAGCGGAGCCTTCCTGGCGCGACAACATTGCCGAGAGCAGTGTGCCGGCTTCCTGGATGATTGGGATTTCCGGGCTCTTTTTCATATGTGCTTTGCAAAGGTCTACATAGCAATACCGCCAAGAGCTGCAATCGGTAAGAAGGCTAGTGACTAGAAGCATACGCTGTTCTGTTGACAGTTCGGCCGTAGCTTGCATTGGGCCCTGCGGGCCTTGGACTTGAAACTTTGCAAACTTTGAAGAGATCCATTTAGATCTGCAGGTTGCTTCGTTTGCATGTGGAACACCGAATCCTTTCGACGCCGAAGCTCCCTACTGTTCTCAAGCCTCGTGGCGAGCAAAGCTGCGCTTCGTCACCCTCCGAAATCCCCGATCCGACAGTCAGTGCGAGGCCTTAAGTCCTCCCACGGTACAAACACGATCCCACAAAACGCAACTGCAGCAACGAGTAGCAACTAAGGTCCGCGTTTGGGCATGTTGGCCTTCCCGACACACTTAAAGGCTCCCCGCCTGCGCATCGAAGTGCAGCTTCGTGACATTCTCTGCGCCTGGCCGGGCTACCGGCTTAGAGTTTGATGTTTGAGGGGTTTAGGATGTCAAGCCTGTTTTGTTGAAGGGGCCGCTAGGAATCAAGTCAGCTGGGAGCTCTGATATGGCCAGGGCCAAGGAACCACAAGAACAGCAAACACAAAGCATTTGCAGCAGCTCTAGCACAGTCTAAGCTTGAACCTCAAGCCTGAGGACACGCCATCCCAAATATGCATCTCTCCCAAACCCTTCCTCTGATTCTCCATGCAAGTGCGACGGGTCCGCCACTATGTGGCCGCGTCACCCGGAAGCTCAGCTCAAAGAAGCGGAATGTCATGAAGCCTCGCCTTGTGCTTGCTGGACCGAAGTTGTGGGAAGGACCTTCCACCTCAAAAGCCACGAACCTAGCTGCAACGTTCTAACTATCAGCAGTTGTTGTTGCCGCTGTGTGAGGATTGCAGGAATGAAGCTTCCTGATCGTTCGTCATGATGCGACACGACACGAATGTCGGAGAAGTCCATCCAACATAGGATGAAAGTCTGGCACCAGCTCCGTCCGAGAGTCCATCCAAAGCGGAATGTGTGCCGAGAAGTGTGTCTGTGAACTTTGGCAGACTCGCTACCCGAGAACTTTTCTGGAACAACATGCCACTCCATATGCTGGAGAATTCCGAGAAATCACAAACCAAGACACCGGAAAAAAACAAAATCTACGTTACCCTTCATTACCTGCATCTTCTACGTTTTTATTGGCCGCCGCATGTTGCACATCGATCCGGAGTTCAATCTCCACTCAGACGTACACTGCGAGCTGAATCCCTGAAGATCCAAGCTCCCCGTTCCTTGATCGCTGACAAGGCTGGGGGACTTCGCTTTGTCAAGATCTTGGAACTTCAACTGCTGTCGTGGCAATGTAAAGAACGCCCGACAAATTAACACTTTCAGACTCGTCACGCGACGAGAACCGGGTGAAGAGCATAGGACCTGTCCAGTCGTGACTTTCGTGTCTTCCTCCTTCACTCCAAGTCCCACAGCCGGGGCACAAGCCTTGTACTGCCCAACCCTGCGAGAAAAACCGATGACCCTTGACCTGAAAATCTACCTTGCTGACCCGCTGAATCTGGAACCTAAGCTGGCTCCGTGGAATCCTGGACTCCTCAGCCCTGTGTCGTTGAGGCTGGTTCACTTAAGCTTTCCACTGTAAATCCAGGAATTTGCGGCTGGTTGCTGACTGGCTGATGGATTTTGTGCTGGACATGGCAGACACAGCATACAGCAGGCCAAACATCCCAGACCGAGAACCTGGCGCAGGAAAACGGAAGTGCACAGCACCATCTGCCGGCCTGCAAGCAACGAAGAAAGAGAAAGCAGAATCTGGCGAAAGCGCCTCCGTGGTAGATGTGTGGGCTTCTGCTTTGGGGGATTGGAGGCCTCGCTGGCGACGCCTCTGACTCGACAAGCAGCGCGCCTCGCAGCACGGTTTGCACGTGCCATCCTAACTCAGTCAGACCACCCCGGCTGAGAACTCAAACTTAACAAGCTCCAGGGTGCTCTGCGTTGTATATCATGACTAGGAAAATCTCGGCTCCCGTGCTAACCCTCTTCTTTTTCTGGCATTGCATTGTCAGCCACAAATATTTTGGTCGAAGCTTCGCCCAATGCCTTTAACAAACGCCGGATCCGGTGGGAACCTGCGCAAAAAACGGAGTCTCCCTGAAACCCAAGAATGAGGCTTACCTTCGCTGGTAGATGGAACCGTAGAAGCTGCGTAAACCCAAAAGTCGAAAGTCTAGGAAACACCCTATAAACTTGGAACCATCAGAAGCCTGGTCGGACGGGGGGGACGCCGCTCATCCGCAGAGAGCATGCCCTGGGTCTCGCAGTTTAGAGTTTCGGTGTTTGAGGTTTGCTTCTGCATACGCTTCTGGTAGCATTTAGTGTGGTTGGTTCTGGTGTCGGCTGGTGGGCATGATGTTGCTGTAGAGTACAGCATCCTTGTTTCTTCGGCAGATCCGAAGATCTGCGTTGTTATTGAGGAGCCAACGCGATTCCCTATCAGCAGCCCTTGCTCACCTCCCTTGGTTTCATCGATCTTGGGGTCAAGCAAGGGGTATGACGGCACAAGCTGAGGGACGTGTATCGACCGACACCCAAGCGGGTGTGCCACCCGATTCTGTCTGCGCGCTCGAACAGCGTCCTCGGTTCCGGGGTCAGGTATTTTCGTTGTCCGAGTGCTAAGCTTGAGGATGTGGGGCTATGGGTCTGAAGGACCACACTTTCAGAAGCTTGACATTCAGAGAAAGTTGTGACAAGGGTCAAGAAGCAGCTCCCAACGTCTCCGATGACCTGAGATTGGCGAGTGCTTCGCCGTCAGCACGGGGTTCAGAGTTCAGGAAGGTCTCGCTCTTTGCTCTGGGAGTTCCCAAGTATTACATCCCCGAACCGCCTCTGCAGAGTTGACCTCTCCGGCCACCACGCCGCGAAAGCCTGCTAGGGCAAGTCTTGGATGTGGAAGTCAGGGTCGAAGGATTTACGGCTGGACAAAGTAAGGGTTCGTCTACGGCTTGTGTGGAGGCGGAAACCTTGATTTTGATTTCGGGATCGCCTCCAGGCTTGGGCTTCTAGGATGTTGGGCATGAGCCCTTCTGCAATGGGTTGTTGGACCCCAGACGTTTCCCGGCAGCGGCACATAGCAGCACAATTGCCAGGAGGCTGAACTCTAAGGGCTACAGACATTACACTCCCATACAGTGTGTGGTCTGCGATTCGAAGGACCTGACTGCCACATCGCATGCGAACGAACCAGATCGCGGAAGCGGCTGAAGCCCATCTCAACCTGCATGGGATGAGACCTGAGCAATCATGCTGTCCGATGTGGTGTTGGTGGGTTGTCAGTGCAACGGCTTCTCCGCATGGCTGCCTTTGCGCGGGCTCTTCTCCCATGAACTTACACTGGCATTGTCGTCCAGCTATGACGGGGATCGACCAAACCGAACCACCACAACTCCACCCCACCCCAACTCCCCCCACACTCGCCTCACACGCATCAACCCCCACTGCAATGCCCCAACACCACAACACCATAGCACTCACCCCAACTGCACCCATCCTCTCCGAAACACCCACCACTCAGAGCTGGCTTGGAGCCGTAGGAATGGTGCTGTCTTCCAAGGCTAGCTGCAAGCTGTTGCCCAAGTCCTTGTCCATGAACCTGAGCGAAATTCAGCGCAATTTTGACGTCCAAGTTTGTGCCTGTTCGCTGAATTGCTAACTGAAGCTGGCTCTGCACGACTTGGAAAACAACCTACCTGAAAGCATGTGTGTCTGCGTGTGGCTGCGAGTAGGCCTGAGTAGGCATGAATGCGAGCGTGCGTGCGTACGTGCGTGTGTGCGGTGCGGCGCGGTGCAGTGCAATGCGGCGCGGGGCGGTGCGTGGCGGGCGTGCGTGCACTGCGTGCACTGCGTGCACTGCGTGCACCGCGTGCACTGCGTGCGTGCACCGCGTGCACTGCATGCGTGCACCGCGTGCACTGCGTGCGTGCACTGCGTGCGTGCACTGCGTGCGCGCGTGCACTTCGTGCGTGCGTGCGTGCACACACACGCACACAAGTGTTTAGGGGATGCGGGATTGTACAAAATAGCATTGATGATCTCCATGTTGCAGAATGGGCAGACAATGCGAACAGTTCGAACTTAACTCGAAGCTCCGACCTGCGGCTGTGGAAAGGGCAATGTTGCTAACAACACGCTGGGTCGGAGTGGAGCCCTCTCTGTCAAACGATGGGGCATATGACCTACTTGCGCCCAGCTCAAGTCAAGCCCGGGGCAGAACGGCCCGGCAGCCATCATCGCCTCGCGCCGCGATTGCCAAGGCCGCGGCCTTCAAGCAAAAAACCCCTGAGCACATTGGGTGGCGGCTCGAAGCCTTTATCTCTCTGCCCTCAGCCCCTTTCCGCTAACATCTCCAGCGCTTTGATTCGCAACTTTGATAGCCCAAATGCCACACACGAAATTGCGGCTACACAACAAACGACATTCAACCTCTATCGAAGGCCGGCGCAACAAAGCCTCGACGTTCAAGCTCACTCAAAACCCAGAACCTGACAAGTGGCAAACCAAGCCTCGTCAGACAATACAGAACATTTAGGATGAGGAGCAAAGCAGCAACCCTTCCACGCCAAGGGGCACACAGCCAGAACATTGGGCACACGTGCCCGGCATGAAAAGTTCAGAAACCATAAAGCTCAGGTGTCCTGGCCTTTCAAGTTTAAGTTCATCCTGGACCATGCTGCTGCTTGCTAGTGTTGACCAAAAACACTACATGGAACTGCCTGAGCACTCCTCAAAGCCTCTCGGCGGCATCACGTCTGTACACTTGGAAACAAACTCGAAGCCGCTTGCAAGCTTTCACCCACTTCGAACTTCTTGGGCCGGCAATCGGCCCAACACGAAGACTCGTCTTCTCAATGGAAGGAAATGAACGACAAACGTAGATGAACTTCGTTGTTCTCTATGTTTAGTACATGTTAGCGCATGCAATAATACAAACTTGTCCACACTCCTGAGCAACAAAAGCCTTCAGTCGTAACGAAGTTCGCAAGTGCACAACTAAAGGAGCGAAAACAAAATCCATAATAAAACAAGTGAAAACCATGCTCACGAACACCGGAAAATCGTTCGTACCCCGCCCCAGGTGGACATACTGTGCTGAACGATTCCGCAAGTTCGAAACAACAGCTTGTGCGACGTTTTAAACACGCTTCAGTGCACTTGACTTTCCTAGCGTATTGGACTTGATTTAGCCGGCTCAAGGCTTTGCTCGGATCCTCACGACAACAAATATTGCACGGCTCTGTGTACGGGGTTGTATCCACGCTTGACAAGCGCGCCTTCACAAGGTTCATGCGGTTTTTGGTGCCCAGCCAACAAAGGACTCAAACGGCCTAGTTACCGTTCTCGGGTCCCAAATGCACCTCAGATCCATCGGCAGCTGGCAATGAACCATGCTCTGGGTCCTCCATTCTCGTTTTGAACATTCAGTCATGACTGTCCTTTCGGCTTGCACCTCGCACTGGCAAACTGACCTGGTCTTACCGTGACTCCTGGTTGGTCAGTTCCAAGGTCATGAAGTTCCCTTCAATGGGGACTTGACTTCAAGCCTCCTTCGCTGCGGTCGACCCAGTCAGATGTTGCGGCACTTGCTTGGATTCCTGACCAGGCCAGATTCGGCTAAGAGCTCGTGGTCCAAACCCTTGTTGAGTCAGCAACTGAGCCGGCGACTGCCGGACACGTCGCTCCGTGTCGTCGGCAGTGACATGGTGACATTCTCACATGATCCATGCAAGCTCCACAGTCTGGAATCTGGAGTCTGGAACGCAAAAGATTCCGCTTTCTGCGGAAGACACTCTTCTATGGACAATGCTGCACCACGAAGCATCCTTCAACGATCCGGTGCAGGCCGTGTGACAGCCAGATGCAAACGCAACGAGATTATTGCGAATGCAATTTCTCGGCGAATGGCGCCACAGCAGAATGCAGATGGAGCTTGGGTCGACAAGGTGGATGCTACTAAGAAGGTTTGAATGGAGCTGACCTTTGTTGAAGAGGTGGCTCATTTTAGATGAGCTCTCCGGCCTCTCTTCGGTCACCTGTTCGCGATGGCAGCCTTATTCAGATGTCCCTGTTATTTTTGCCACCGGCTCCTTTTGGTCAGATGGAAGGGGCTCGGAACAGCAAGCTTGCAGAATGCGCACCAGCGAGCAATCGCGAAATTTAACTTAATTGGTGGCACGGAAACTTTGCCACGTTCCATCCTTCTGCAGCCAGAAGTGAGGCTGGTCCCCCCCCCCCCCCCCCGGGTTTAACCCAGGTTTGAACCTGGGTTCCCTCCCCCGGGGGGGGGGGGGGAACAACAACAACCCAGGGAACCCAGGTTTGAAACCTGGGTTTAACCTGGGTTTGAACCTGGGTTTTAACCAGGGTTTAACCTGGATTCGAATTTGTTTTTTCCTCGGGAAGCAAAAGGGAAAGGGCTGGGCTCCAAGCCGGTCTGCCCAAGGGTTTACGCCGTAGCAACCTTTCTACACTTCAACAGAGGTGTGACCTCACTCTTTTGCCGAAGCAAGGGGGTTCCCTCCGGGGTCTAGGAGCTACAGCAGAGGTGCGACCTTCTCTCTTGGCATACCAAGAGGGTTCCCTCTAAGGAGGTGTGCCTCACTCCAGCCGTGGCCAGGGGGTTCCCTCCAACTCTAGCTGAGGATGAAACCTCAAAACTCCTCTCAGAACTCGCCCAAGTCGATCTTCGGCACTGGCCGGACCTTCCATTCCACTCCTTCCGACCCGATCACTCCAGACGGGTGGAGGGAGCAAAGCCGCCCCATAGGGTCTTCAGCCAGCACATCTTGATTGATCAGCTGGCGGACGGCTTCCCAGGCCGTGCGCTCATCCTCCAAACCTTGGGAGCAAAAGGTAAAAGCTGGGCTCCAAGCCGGTCTGCAAGAAGGGTTTACGCCGTAGCCACATTTCTAGACCACAACAGAGGTGTGACCTTACTCTCTTGCCGAAGCAAAAGGGTTCCCTCCGGAGTTTAGAGTAAGCAGAGGTGCGACCGTCTCTCTTGGCGTACCAAGGGGGTTCCCTCCAAGGAGGTGAGACCTAGCCAGGGGGCTCCCTCCTACTGTAGTTGAGGGTAAACCTCAAAAATCCTCTCAGAACTCATCCAAGTCGATCTTCGGCACTGGTCGGAGCGTCCATTCCACTCCTTCCGACCCAATCACTCCAGAAGGGTGGAGTGAGCAAAGCGGTCTTCGGCCAGCACGTCTTGGTTGATCAGCTGGCGAACGGCTTCCCATGCCGTGTGCTCATCCTCCCTTCGAGCCTGGCCACCGCCCATCCTAGCAGCTTCTCTGGGCTCCTGTTGAAGGAGACCCAGACATCAGCGAAGCGCTGGGCTTCCGCGGATCCATCATCACACTGGACCATCCAGAAGAAGGCCTTCAAATAGTGGGCCTTGCTCAAGGTTGGGCGATCGACACACTTGTAGTCATTGAGATCGCAGGGGAGGTATTGGCGCCCTGGACCATCCCGGTGGCTTCTCTCTTCCTCGTTGTTGAGGCCGCTGCCTCATTTGCTTCCAGTTCGGCAGCCGCTGCAGCCTGGCGCTCTTCAGCGACCTCCTCCAACTTTGGCACAGTCTTCACTCGGGCAGGGGAGGCTGCCTTGGAGGTGGCCGCCGGGCTCCCTCCTCTTTGGCACCGTAAAACGCTTTACGGGTACGTTCCAAACCCTTTCACTTCACACAGATATTCGCACTTCACTTTTCCTCGGGAGCACGGTCTGTCTTGGGTGCGTCCCTTGAGCCTAAACCACAGTGGAACATTTGTTCCATGCTATACAAAACATGTGGCAAACAGCTCAACTACAGGATTACAGGGCAACACACTCCTAAGCGAAATGTTTGTTACCCCCTCTTCGTTGCATCCTCTTTTCGCCTTTTCCTCTTAGAGGTGCTACGAACCCAAAACAGTCGCTCACTTCTCCTTTTAAACACGTCGTGGTGCACTGCTTTTTGTCGTGTGAAACGAGTGAGACAAGAGCTACACTTACCGGCCGCTCTCGCTAAGCTCTTTACTTCGTTTCACTTCTTTGGCTTTCGCCACAAAAGAACTCACTCCTCTTTAGCGGTTTTCCGCTTATCCAACACTAGGTCGGATCGTTTGTGAAACTTCCTCGGCAGCTGTGCTGCAAACTTCCTTGGCAGCTGTGCTGCAAAACTCCTTTGGGGTTTCCCCCTCTCGCTTTCTACGCCTCCTTGTTTATAGACCTGAGGTACGGTCTTTCTCCTTGATCCCTCCTTGTTTATAGACCTGAGGTACGGTCTCTCTTCTTCTCTTTTCTCTTTAACTCTTTTGCTGCTCCTTCTTTCCCTTTCCTTTTCCAGGATTCTCCGTCCTGTACTTCTTCTTCGACGCTTCCAGTCGATTCGCGTAAGCTCGCCTCACCGTGGGCTCGTTCTTGCGAAACCACACCGCAAAATCCTCTTTCGACATATTCTCCCGCTGGCATAGCGGTTGGTACTGTCCGTTACTGCTGTTGTTGAAATCTCCGTCCCAACATACATCTGCAGAGTGCCCGAACCTCCAGCACAGAGAGCACACGACCCAGGAATCTACAGTTTCGGCTGGTATGACTTCCGAGGAACGCCGGGT